GTACCTAGAATTACAATATTAACTGTTTCTTCCTCTACGCAGGAACTACCGTTCTGAAAACTGAAGGTTACAGTGCAAACCATGGAGGAGAGGAGATGAAGAAGAAAAGTGGAAAACTGAGCTTTGCTGTTGGTTTACAGAGGGCATGGGGACATGGCGTGAAATAATTTTGTTATTTTATGATCCTAACTTGCGTTTTGCTCAGTGGATCATCTCATTCGATATGATCTCCAACCCTTTTTGGAGTAGGGCAGTGTATAAACTAGTTAGTCAACACCACCAAGTTGAGTATTAAATTTAAATGTACAATTTGGTCAGAAAATAATAACGATTTGCTCATGGAATTTTATTTTTTACTTTTATTGTGTGCGAAAAGCAGGGCTATGGCTTCTAATCCTATACAAATCTACATCTTAACCTTTGCCATTTTCTGAAGAATCATAATTTTAAAAAAGAAGGTACAAATTAGCAGCTACAGAACAGTCATGGGAATGTAAAGTATAGCATAGGAAATATAGTCAATAATCTATATAATAAAAGTCTAAGCAACAGTTACAGCAGAATGACCAGAATGACCAGTAACTATGATGTGCACTGACCACCAGGGGGCAGATGCTCTGTCGTGGTCAGTGTGCTCACACAGGGGAAGCGCCAAGAAGTCAGGCTCACGGCTGGCGAGTGCAGCAGCAGTGGCAGGAGCCTGTCCTGTCTCCAAGACATTACGGAACAGCGAGCAGGCGGATGGTAAAAAGTGAGGGGTCCTGGATTGTGAGAGGGATGTCTGACTGCCGGCTTAGGCCCACTCCCCTCGGGGGAACGGGCCTAAGCCAACAGGCAGGCATCCCCCAAGGGGTCCCAGACTGCAAGAGGGTGCAGACCAGGCTGAGGGAAACCCCCCCTCCCCCAGTATTATACTAAGCCTCTGTTATTATAATAACTATGTATGGTGTTAGATGGTGCTAGTTTATCAGGATGATCACTTTGTAAGATATATAAATGCCCAATCACTGGGTTGTGCACCCAAAAAAATAAAAAAACAAAAAAATATTATTTTTTTAAAAGAAAAACAGTTAACTATTTAAGTTTTAAAAAATCATAATAAAAGAAGAAATCTTTCTTATTACAGAGCAGGACTTTGGACAGTCATGACCTTTGCACTTCTTCAAGGAAGGGGTGATGCTGAGCCCCAAAGCACAAATGAAATAGCTGAGGGCTGGACGAGAGAAAGAACACTGCACACCAACAGTCACCTCCCTCCTGCACAGAAAGTCAGGGTGGGCAGTGCAGACAGAGCCAAGCAGAAAAGCAGCATGAGGACAGTGGTCACAGTGGTGGGAGCCCCACAGGGCACAGAAATTGGAGTGAGAAATTTTTAAAATAAAATGCACCTAATTTGGCCCTAGCTGGTTTGGCTCAGTGGGCAGAGCATGGGCTTACAGACTGAAGAGTCCCGGATTCGATTCCAGTCTAGGGCACATGCCCAGGTCTGCAGGTTTGATCCCCAGTAGGCAGCCAATCAAAGATTCTCTCTCATCATTGTTGTTTCTATCTCTACCTCTCCCTTTCTTCCTAAAATTATTTTTAAAATATTTTTTAAAATCTACCTATATCGCAGTTTTTCGAAAGAATGCCAAATGTCACCTTAGTAGATTTATATATGTTGACTAGTTTTTTAAATAATTGTATGTTTCAAAAAATGTTTCAGATGATCCAAGTTTTCTCTTTCTGGGAATTTTTTAACACAAAAATGAGTTTAAAGAATAATAATGAGCACTTTTATTCATACCACCCTAAATTAAGAGTTGTTTATTTGGGGAGAACATATCTATGAGATATGAGCTGCTATGACCGTATTTGTTTGGCTTTTTGTTGTTGTTAATCCTCACCTGAGGATGTTTTTCCCATTGATTTTTAGAGAGAGTGGGAGGGAGGGGAAGAGACAGAGTGAGAAACATCGATGTGAAAGAGACACCTCACACCCGCACCCTACAGAGGCCAGAGATCAAGCCTGCAACCGAGGTCCCTGTCCTTGGCCAAAATCAAACCCAATGGGCCGACACTCTAACCACTGAGCAAATTGGCCAGGGCTTGGCTTTTATTATAAACCCATGACACGAGAGCTGTATTTGGGTAGTGCTCAAATGTATTGGTTGGCAAAAAAAGCTCTCACATACTGGTTGGGGAATAGCCCTCGACCTGGGCGCTTCGGGGAGATTCCTGTCCCTGTCCACAGCCCCGCTCCTGAGGAGTTAGCGCCTGGCCCAGCCCAGCCCAGCGCCCCCAGGACCTAGGTTACTGCCCACCAGACCTCTGAAGCTCCTGAGTTAAGATTTCACCCCCACATACCTCCTTGTCACCTTCTTGGCAGTGGTGGTGGCATCCTGCATGGAAAGACTGCCTTCCAAGCCCACTGCCGAAGGCTGCACCCACCCTGTCCACTCCGCTCCTCCGGAGTCACCTGGCATGGTCACATGCAGAAGCTGCAGTCTCTGCAGGACTGACACTGAGAGGCAGGCAGGGGACCCTCCTGTGACAGAAGGACGTCGGGGGCCAGATCTGTAGGGGCCGTTCAGGGCCAGAAGTCACCTCCGGTATAGGTCCCTCTTTCCGTAATCCCTCTGGAATTTCACCTCCTTTTAATGGAGCACTACGAGAACTCCTTAAGTATCCGCCCATCCCTGGCCTTCATGATCTTAACTTAATTCATGAAAATGAGAGCTGACACATAGTTCCTGTTCACTGCCAGGCACCACTGTAAATGTATTATACCTCACTAAGTGCCATCAACATTATGATCATCATTCCCTTTTTATTTATTTAAAAGATTTTTTTCCCCCCAGAGGGGAAGGGAAAAGGAGAGAGAGGGATAGAAACATCAGTGATGAAAGAGAATCATTGATTGGCTGCCTCCTGCACACTCCCTACTGGGTTGAGCCTGCAACCCAGGCATGTGGCCTAGATCGGAATAGAACCCAGGACCCTTCTGTCTGCAGGCCAATGCTCTATCCACTCAGCCAAGCCAGCTAGGGCTCATTCCTTTTTACAAATGAAGATTCTGAGGACAGAGACATTTAAAATTCAAGCAGCGGAGTCCAGGGCCCTCTAGCAACAGAGCCCGAGCATTCAGTTAGCTAGCATGCTGCACCATCTCTCATTCGCCTGAAAGATTGGACCCGACCTAACTAAACATGACATTTCAAAAAATGATTTTCAACGATTTAGTCAATAACAAGATATGGAATATATGGAAAGCTCAGATGGCTTTATATAAAGTATGGAAAATGTTTAATTTAACTTCTGTTAGTTTATGATTTGAGAAAAGATCAACACCATTTATAATATCTATGACATTCAGAAAGATTTTCACTTATTGAGGCTACAAGTTACCTAATGACTATAATTTAACCAAGCAATTATTGAAAGAGGGTAAGGCCATTTTCTGCATCAAGTCATGGCCCTGACTGGTGGGATGTATTAGACACATCAAACAAAACCTCATCCCAGCAATTCCGAAACTTGAACAAATAATTTGGAAATTATCAGATTTAGTTTATGAACAATTTGTGTTACAACTTAGAGAATAGAAGAGAATATTTTTAATTTTTTGTGTATATATTGACTTGTATGATTTACATTATCATTCTAGGTAAATGTTTGAGTATTAACTCTTGTCCTTACCCAATAAGTAAGTGGGGTAGATTTCCATAAATGATACCTTGCTAAGTGAATCATTCAGCATCCCATTTTTTCTTGGCCATTTCTTTCAATTTCTGCCCAGCAATTCCTCTTGAAACCCTCTCATGTTCTACTTAACCTTCCCTCTTCTCACGGACAATCAGGTTGTTTTCAATCATATACACTTCCTGTGCATAGGTGGAAGAGTTTCTTTTGGGTATGAATGTTAAAATAGAATCATTGGACCACACGGTACACACTTTTTCCACTTCACTAGATTCTGAAAAAGTACTCACTCTCTCCACCATTCGTGTTGAGGTTACCATTTTTCTTTTTATCCTCATCACTTCTTGCTATTGATAGATTATTTTATTATCAATCTGATGAGTGAAAATGACATCTCCATGTTGTTTTAATCTTTAGTCGCCTGATTACTGGTGTGGCTGGCATCTTTCTCTATGTGCATCAACCACTGAGAGTTCCTCTTCTGCAAATTGCCTGTTCATATTTGTTTATCAAGCCATTATGTTTTTCTTTACTTGTTGGAAGAGTTCTTTACAAAGTCTGGTTAGCAATCCTTTGTCTTCTATATACATTTCGAATATGTTTCTTGTCTTTCATTTTCTGTAATCTCTCTGGCAATCCTGAAAATGAAATCAAATCGATTGTTCTTTCCGTTTGAGGTTGGGGGGTGTGAGTGTGACTCTTCTCTTAGCACCTTCCACACCCAACATCTTTGTTTTTCTCCTGTTGTCATCTATCCCATCTATGCCCCCTTCCACCTCTACCCATCCCCTCCCCACTCCGCAATCACCACACTGCTGTCCATGTCCATTAGTTCTCTCTCTTTTTTTCTCAGTCCCTCTATACACACCCCAACAGACTCTGTGAGTCTGTCTCGATGTTGCTTGCCTACCCAAGATCTTAAAGATAGTTTCCTATTTTTTTCTAATAGCTTTAGATTTTTTTTAATAAAACTTTCTTATAGCATCTGGAATATAATTTTGTGTATGGTGTGAGGTAAGGAGATAAGGCAAGGAGACACAGAAGAGGTGTGAATCTTTTTTAAGCACCTTCCCTACCCAAGATCTTTTGTGTATGGTGTGAGGTAGGGAGATAGGGCAAGGAGATGCCATTTAAGATGGAAGCCACTAAAAATAATATTGCAGGAAAAAATGAAATGATATTAAAAGATTTACCATGTGACACTACATTTTTAAAAGCCAATTACAGAACTGCATGTACTACATTATGGTTGCATTTTTATTAACAAATATGCATGTTTTTGAAGAATATATATCTAGATCATCCTTGGCCGCCTCCTCCCTCTTGGTGGTCTTTCCTCCTCCACCACTCCCCCTTCTCCCAGAATTGGTCTTTTCTAGTCCCTCAGAGGGAAGATATGTTCCCCCCGAGATGTATCCTTTGACCTTTGGTCAATAATGGGATGTCCCAGGGGACAGCCCTGTTCTCCCTGATTTTGCAGTTATTACCAACACCCATCCCTCTTCATTCAGCATATTTGATACCCAGAGTTACACCTACTGAATTTTTTTTATTTCTTTTACTTTATTGGTTTTAGAGAGAGGAAGAGAGAGATGTGAAAAAGAGAAACATCGATTGGTTGCCTACTGCACATGCTCTGATTGGGAATCGAACTCGCCACCTTTTGGTATCCAGGATGATGTTCCAACCACTAAGCAATACTGGCCAGGATACCTGAAATGTTAAGTCGTGCGCTGGGTAAATAATCATCCTTGTCAGGGATGTCTTTGCATGTTCAGAAAGTCAGAAATGATGAGACGGGGGCCCAACCAGTGTGGCTCAGTGCCTGAGCATCAACCTATGAGCCAGGAAGTCATAGGTTCGATTGCTGGTCAAGGGCACATGCTGGGCCAGTGGGGTGCATGCAGAAAGCAGCTAATCAATGATTCTCCTTCATCACTAATGTTTCTCTCTCTCTCCCTCTCTGAAATCAATAAAAATGTATATATTTTAAAAAAAGAAAGAAAAATTATGAGACTGGGGCCAGTGTGGTCCTCCCTGGTGTCAGGGACCTAGGTACCTTCTATTTTGTTCTCCCCGAAGCCCGGCTTCCCTTCTCATCCTCTCCTTCAAGGCCACTGTGCCTTGTCCCTGTGCGCCGTTGCTGGCACAGCTCTCCTACCCCTCCTGGAATTTCCTGAGTGGCAGTAATCATACCGTAGGAGTGTCTTTTGTTATTCATGACAACCCTAATCTGAGTCTATGCTCACCAGGTGACTCTTGGTATTCTGAACAGCTTCAGGATGGGGGCTGCTGCCAAAGGGCCAACCCAGTGTTAGAGAGCTGGGACTTTCAGCCCAATCCCCCACCTCCAAGGAGCGGAGAGGGGCTGAAGGTTGGCTGCAGTGACCAGTGGCCAATGCCTCAACCAATTGTCATCCTCAACCAACTGATGACAGCGGAAACCGGTTTGGCTCAGTGGATAGAACATCGGTCTGCGGACTGAAAGGTCCCAGGTTCTATTCTGGTCAAGAACATGTACATTGGTTGAGGGCACATCCCCAGTAGGTGGTGTGCAGGTGGCAGCTGGTCGATGTTTCTCTCTCATCGACATTTCTAACTTTCTATCTCTCTCCCTTCCTCTCTGTAAAAAAATCAATAAAATATGTATATATTTTTTAAATCAATTGTGATGACAGTGGAACCTCCATAAAACCCTAAAGGACGAGGTCCAGAAAGCTCCCAGATGTGTGGGAATGCACCCAGGTGTCAGGGAGGGTGCTGCACCCCAACTCCATGGGGGAGAAGCTCCTGTGCTTGGGACCCTTCCAGACCTCACTTCACCCGGTGTGGCTGTTCAATAGCATCCTTCCTAACAGCCTTCACAGCAAACCGGCGGCAGGGGGCTAAAGGATCCCCTGAGTTCTGTGACTCATTCTAACAAATTGTCCCGTCTGAGAAGGGAGTCCTGGGAACCGCCAATTTATAGGCAGTTAGAATGGCTGACGAATCGGTCAGAGGTATAGATGGCAAGCTGGGCCTGGTGTCTGGGCGGGGGCAGTTGTGGGGGGCTGGCCCTTCACCTCAGGAACCTGATGCTGCCTCCAGGATGATCTGTCAGAACTGAACGGGCTTGTAGGACACCCGGTTGGTGTGGAGAGAATTGGTTGGTGTGGGGAAACGAAACCCCATGTATTTGGTGCTATAAGTGTTGCAAGTAAAAATAGTGCAGAAAGTGGGGGGATGGGCACCCCCTCTTTTTAAGAAGACATCCCTTACATACGTTTCTGCTCCCATCCCTCCCGCCAGGACGGAGACACATAGCTTGTTTATATGGACTCGGAAAGCCCTTAAAGAGGTCGTGGAGAGAGTGGTGGTTATTTCGGAAAAATACAAAACAGGCTTCAAGGCCAGGCCACGTGTAGGAAGTTTGGGGCTTGTAACTTTAATTTCCTTCCCTAAGAGATGTGAGGAACTTATTTGTAAAGTGTATTAGGCGGGATTAAAGTCAGCTGTAACAGAAAACCCCAGAGTAACCGTGGTTTGATTCTGTTTCCCATTTCTAAATGGATTAAGTGGCTGGAGGCCTGCTCGGTGCCAGGCACGGTCCTAGACACTTGACATTTCATCTTCACAGGACGCTCCCTGTACAGGAGATCCCCACTGTACAGGCGAAGAGACTTAAGTTCAGAGAAGGTAGGTAACTTGTCCGAAGTCACACAGCTCCTTGGCAGTAGAGCGTACATGCATCCAAAGTTCTTAACACCCTCGCCAGTTTGGCTCAGTGGGTAGAGCATTGGCCTGCAGACTGAAGGATCCCAGGTTTGATTCTGGCCAATGGGCACATGCCCAGGTTGCAGGCTGGATCCCCAGGGTGGGGTGTGCAGGAGACAGCCCATCAATGATTCTCTCTCATTATTGATGTTTCTATCTCTCTCCCTCTCCCTTCCTCTCTGAAATAAATAAAAACATATTTAAAAAAAAAAAAAAAGTTCTTTCCACTCCACCGCCTGCTCCACAGGAGACAAGTGACACTTTCACTCCCCCTGCCCGCCCCCTCCCCGTCAGCACTCAGGGATGAGGGACACCACCAGCTAACTGAACAGCTGGCAGCTCTGTTTTCCCAGACCGGCTCTCAGAACGGGCGTGTCGATGGTTGAAAACTAAAACTGAAATGTGTTTCCACACTCATCACCACACGCGGCTCTTCCTGCTCATATTTTTAAATCCCACAGAGGAACATATTTTGGTTGTGCTTCTGGTTCACCACGTACAACGCGTCAGCATATTCACTCCCTCGGATACAAACCAATGCCAAGGGCATCTGAGTCACAACACCGTGGGCTGGCGTGCCTGCGCTCCCAGCCCCCCGCGAGTCCCCTCTTCCTCCTTGTTTTGGCTCTGAAGCTAGTGTAAAGCTCTCTGGCATTTTTCTCCAGGAGCCATCGTCCAGAAGTCATGGAGAGCCGAAACCGGTTTGGCTCAGTGGTAGAGCGTCCATCTGCGGACTGAAGGGTCCCGGGTTCGATTCCAGTCAGGGGCATGTACATTGGTTGCGGGCACATCCCCAGTTGGGGGTGTGCAAGAGGCGGCTGGTCGATGTTTCTCTCTCATCGACCTCTATCTCTCTCCCTTCCTCTCTGTAAAAAATCAATAAAATAAAATAAAAGTCATGGCGAGCACAGAGGGTAGGAAAGCGTTGCCGGTGTGGGCCCTCCGCGGCCCAGCCAGCACTGACCTGGCCATGGAGGTGACCTGACACAGAGATGATCCATGGGAGCGAACAGTTGTGTCCCAAAGAAAAGCCAAGTTCAGAACATCAGCTATGTGCCCCCGGGGACACAGCCTGAAAACTGCCAGAGGCAGGACTCAAACTCGGGACTTGTGACTCTGGGAACAGAACCTGTTCTCATTCCCAAGAAGTTCCCGGGCCATGACTCCCCTGGTCCCATTCCCTGCTGCCTGCCACCAGGAAAGTCATGTTTGCTCATTCCCAGATGTAAGGCTCACGTGCTGAGTGGGTGCCCAGGGTGGGGACTGACACGGGAGCGGGTGTTTGTGGGCCAGAGATGCCCAGAGACTCGAGGAAGACCCACAGAGACAGAGACAAACAGACCGAAGAGAGACGCGGAGAGCAGCGTGGCCGAGCAGTCCTCTTTCGAGGCAGATGCTTAGAAGACGTGCTTCCAAGAAGCTTCTGATCGAGCGAAGGAGCTGATGTGACACAGAACGAAACCACAAATGAGGTCTAGCGCTTATGAGACCAAACACATGTCAACGCCGAGGGTGACTCAGGAGGAGCTGACGCTGGCCAGGCGGGATTTGGACAGCAAAGACAATGCAGAGGGCCCCGTGGGAGAGTGGAGAGAAGCCGGGGAGGTGAGGGCGGGGGAGGCCCTTGGCCCCAGGGCACAGGCTGCACAGGCCTCCGGAGCAGGTGTCGCCATGTATTTAACCCATCGATGGACATTCAGGCTGCCCCCATCTCTCTGGCGCACAGGGCTGCAATGATTTCCCTTGCATTGCCGGTACATCTGTGGGATAAATCCCGGGTGGGGGACTGCTCACTCAAAAAGCATTTTTCAGGCATTCTTATTAGGTTCTGGATTGCAGGATTTGACTCATTTTTTCTTCAGGCCCACCGCTGTGTTCACTGCGCAAAGACAGCCCCAGAGGGGTCCTGCGTCTTCTGCCCAGCTCAAGGCCATGGTCATCAGTGTCCTAACGGTGTGCTTGAGGAAATGCAGAGAAATTAAGGTGCATACGCAGATTCTAACCCTTTCAAAGGTACTAGGAGCCGAAACCGGTTTGGCTCAGTGGATAGAGCGTCGGCCTGCAGACTGAAGGGTCCTGGGTTCGATTCCAGTCAAGGGCATGTACCTGGGTTGTGGGCACATCCCCAGTAGGGGGTGTGCAAGAGGCAGCTGATCAATGATTCTCTCTCATCGATGTTTCTAACTCTCTATCCCTCTCTCTTCCTCTTTGTAAAAAATCAATAATATATATATATATATATATATATATATATATTATATTTTTTTTTTTTTTTTAATTTTTTTTTAATGGTACTAGGAGCCCAGGCAGCCGTAAACTCCACCCCGACTCTTGAATAAGTGCACCATCTCCTTTTTAATATGCTGTGGGGAAATGCCCAGGTTTCACATAGATTGGCATTCGTGGGCTTGTTTCAAAGGGTGTGGGTAGGTCATCGTCCTCTGGCCGTGACCTCAACACCCCCAGGCCGGAGATGGCCAAGCAGGCGCAAATCTGGGAACTGGGCGGTCACAGATCTGGGCTGAACCGGGAGGGCCTCTGGGACTCTGCTGCCATTCTAACCTTGTCCCTTCTGGCTCTCGCCCACATCCGTACAGCATGGACGTCTTCACTGATGTTATGTATAGTGCCTATAAGTTGTGTCCGCAACTGAGTTTGAAATACATATGCTATCAAAGACCAACACACAGACATAGAGATGATTCTTAGACACTGTTTCGCTTGTGTACACGAAGAAGAATCAACAGTGTTGACTCAAGGGGTCCAAAGAAAAAGAGCGTCTTATTGACGGGAAATCTGCAAGGACAAGACTTGGAACGTAGGTAAGGAATGGACAGACACAGGTGAGGTGTGCAAACCCTCACACAACAAGGTGGGCGAACTCAGCATGCAAACACCTTTGTGCTTTAAGGAATCATTTTGCCGAGCTGCCAAGCTAAGGTTTTGTTATGTAAAACGGCCTGCAGCTGGTTAGTTTCACACCTGTTAAAATTCAGTCTTGGAAGCCATACTAAACTTGTACAACTTCATACTCCGATACCATTAAATGTTCGCCTCTGAGTTTTCTTCTGGCCAGAACCATATGCCCATTCCTGGAAGAGCGGTGACAGGGGTGTGTTTTGGTGGTGGGTGGTGGAGAATTTTGCTGTTGCTGTTTTATTTCACTCAACGAGGATGCGTGAAGGGTTTCATCTCCTAAGTCCCAAATGGGATTCAGAATCGCACCGTCTGTCCAGCACACACACGCACTGTGTGACAGAGCAGGCCTGGACCTGGGCTTGGGGCGCAGTCATGGCCCTCAGCTCCTTGTCACTCTAACAGGAAATGGGCTCCGGGTTTACCCTCTGTGTAAAAGCAGCTGCCAGGAGAACTTCTCAGTGGTGGGAATGTGACTACTGAGCACCTGAAATGTGGCTAGGGTGATTGAATGTAAATTTTATGTAAATTTATTTAAATGTGGTTTATAGAATGCTCGATTTAGTTGTGTATTGCTAATGTCCATATATATCACAGTTCTAAGAAGAACCAGCACTTTTCTGGACCTTTATTTTCCTGTGGATTTCTCTCTGCCTTTGTCAAAGTGTAAAAATGGTAACTGGGGATAGAGCAAGAGCCCTGTTCACCCCATCCTCACCCCTTCTCTCCCCCTGCCCTCTCTACCATTCCCCCTTCCACCCAAGACCTCTAGAGTTTTCTAGGGCCAAATATTATTTCTAATAACAGAGCTTTCTCACTCCAGTTATAATCACAAATCCCTCTGGGGAGAAAGTCTTGTAGTGAAACAAATGGCCTATCCAAAGGTTTCAGAAAATTACTTTTTAAAAACGCTTTGGAGTGGACTATGCAGGGAAATGAAATAAGTATCAGGTTGGCTTGAATAAGTTATCACATATGCCCCATGAGCTTCAGGGCATGTTTTGAGAAGGCTTTTTTCACTGCTCCCAAATAACGAACAAATTGTTGATATAATGAGTGATCGAAGGAAGGGCTGGTTGGCAGCCTTTGGAGCAGGAAGGCCTCTGCAGGGAGGAGAATATTAATCAAGCCTTCCCGCGAGCTGGGGAACCAGGAGGAAAACAAGCTTCTCCTTCATGAACAAGGCAGCTCCTGGATGTGTTTCCCAAACTTTAATGTGCTCCCACATGACCTGAGGAATCTTGTTAAAATGCAGATCCCATTCAGTAGGGCCACTGGTGCAGACTGCACTCTGCACAGTGAGGCTCGAGGCTTCAATGTTCCTGAAGTCCAGAGACTGGCCACTCTGAACGCCTGGCAGCTGGCCACCAGTGCCCAGACTCCCTGCCCAGCCTGCCTACCAACGGCTAGGTTCTCTTGAAATTGTCATCTTGGAGCTTGTCTCCTAGGGATTCAGCCAGGCTTTGTAAACTTGCCTGCTTTGTGAAGTTGCCAAATGTATAGGACCAAAGCTCTGAGAGACCAGTGTGAGGCAGCAGCCTGGTAAATGCATCTGCTCTGCAAACTCACACTGGCCTCAAAGGGGGCTGCTCCGAGAGTCGAGGGTGGTGGGACCACTAGGAAGTCACTATTAGCACAAATCTAAGCTCCATCCTCCAGTCTGGTTTCATTAGTAATGATGTTGATGTTTTCATTTATTTCTTCTTGTTTCCTTTCACTTAACTCAGCCTTAATTAGGAACAAAATGCCCCAGTTATAATTTGCCCCTTCAAACCACTTACTCTGCTTCTATAAAATGAAGATAATAGAGCACCTATACCTCTCAGTTTGTGAAGATTAAATTAATGCACAGAGGGGTTTACAATTGTCCCTAGTATGACAGATGTTTACTAAATACAAACTGTTATGGTAAGAGGTGCTTTTTGGTGTTTGTTCCACGAATAAGTACAGACAGATCAGTCTCCAATAACAACCTCCCTCTTGACCTCCAGACCCAAAGCCTTCTTGATAGTTCCACCAGGATAATTTTTTAATTTTTATCTTTATTGTTCAAAGTATTACAAATGTCCCCTCCCCATCCCCTCCCCCCCATTCCCCCTCCTCTCTTCCCTCTGAGATTCCTCAGTCTGTTCTGTGCTTCCATATCTCTGGATCTATTTTGCTTACCAGGTTATTTTGTTCATTAGATTCCACGTGAGGTCATGTGACACTTGTCTTTCTCTGACTGGCTTTTCTACCCACTGATCTATTGATGGGCACTTGGGCTGTTTCCAAATCTCAGCTATTGTAAGTAGTGCTGCTGTACCAGGACAATTTTCAAGTACGTTCAGCCAAATGTTCTTGGTGGGAAAGGGGGCAGGTGCTTGATGGGAAGGCAATTGCCCTTCCATGAATTCAGTTTAAAGGTTATCAGGACAATATATAGTCCCAAGATATAGAAAAGATCCTCCAAATTATGCACGAATCAAGCATGTGCATTTCTTTAAACCTTCAGCTTATGCCAGTTTTCCAGATGAGTCCCTCCACATCACTAGATACAGTACTACAGAGGGTTCTGTTACTTAAAAACAAGCAAGCATTCTGGGATTACTTTGATCTGAAATTTAAGATTCCATGGTGCTGGCTACAGTGGAAAAACAAGGCAAGGCTTGAACATTAATTTTATTATTTGGTCAAATCCACTTCCCTCATGAGATTTCAGTCACCTCATCAGCATGTAAGGTTTTATTGCATGAATTGCTTAGTGTTCCCTCATGACTGTATTTTGCACACCTCTCTATGATCAGGAAAACAAAACAACAAAATCCAGCCAGTTGCTTCTGCTGCTTATTTACACTGAACACCTCAGACTTCAGTAATGCAAGTAAGGAGAGGACAGTGACTCACTGAACATACAAGGTGCAGCCACCACCAGCCATTCCCAGGCACAGGGGGCTGCCCGGCCCAGCAGAGAGGGCACTCTGCACTTCTGATCACAGACCAGGAGACCTGCGGAGTCTCTGAGCAGAAGGCGTTCCTACGTCCAAAAAGTTTAATCTAAATTGGCAGGCCTTGATTTGGGGGATCTCGGGATTCCTCTACTTTTAAAAATTGAGAATGCCAAAACTTTTTATGTGGGTCATAGCTGTTGATATTTACTGTAGTAGAAATTAAAACTGAGACTCTTTTTAGATATTTGCCTACAAATTCATTTTAAAATAAATACTTCACTAGAGTAGGGTTAGGCAAAGTTTTTCTGTAAGGATCAGACAAGTAAATATTCTAGGCTTTGCAGGCCATATGGTCTCTGTTACAACTTCACAATTCTGCTGTTGTAGTGTGAAAGCAGTCAGACAATAAGTAACAAATGAGCGTGGTTGTGTTCCGATAATATTTTATTTACAAAAACAGGCATGAGCCATTTTGCTAGAAAACAAACCTTAAAAGGATTAAACAGATCTGCAAGTAAATTATCTGCTAGAATAAAGCCCAATGCAAAGATAACAAAGCCAGCAATGTAACATTCATAATGTGTGTCATCTTTCTTAGTACTACAATAGATCAAAGAACTGGAAAATGGCCAGGGTCCAGGAGAAAAATCAGTCAATAGAAATAGACCCAAACATGGCATAATGGTATAAGCAGATAAGTACATTAAAATACTTATAAACATGCTCTATATCCTCAAGGATGTAAAAGAAAATATAAAGAAGAGAGAAATTATGTAAAAAAGAAAATGGAACTGCTAAAGACAAAAATATAATATCTGATGTGGACATTTCACTGTAAAGGAATAACAACAAATTAGACATTGCAGAAAAAAGCAATTAGTAAACTCAAAAAACTGCAATATGCTTTATATAATACGAAGAATGGAGGAGAAAAAGAATAATTTTTAAAAATAATAAAATATTAATGACCTGTGGAATATCAAGCAGTCTAAGATACATGTCTACCCCAACTAACAATATGATACATATAAAAACCCACATTAACTAAAACATAGAGGTCAAAAATAAAAATATGAAAAAAGATACATCATGCAAACTCTAATCATAACTAGAGTAGCAATATTAATATAAGACAAAGTAGGCTTTAGGCCAAAGAATGTTGCCAGATAAAAAGGACATTTCATAATGACAAAAGTGACAATTTAACAAGAAAACATAATAATCCTAAATGTGTATGTAGACATTAACTTCTAAACTCTTCTGTTTAGAAGCAAAAAAAAAAAAAAAAAAAAAGGAAGAACTGAAGAGACATATGCAAATTCACAATTACAGTTGGTTATTTCACCATACCTATCTCAGCAACTTACAGAACAAGTGGAGAGAAAAAAAATATTTAAAGATGCAGAAAACTTGGATTCTACCAACCAATGTGACCTAATTGGTATTTATAGAACATAATAGCCTGCAGAATAGACATTTTCAAATGAACAAGAAACATTCACCAAAACAGACCATAGGCTGGGTTCATAAACCAAATTTCATTAAATTTAAAAGGGCTGAAATCATTCAAAGTATGTTCTCAAACCACCATGGAAATAAATTAGTAATCAATAACAAAAAACTTAACACAGTGCTGTGAGTGGAAATATATTGCAAGCTACACATGTAATTTTAAATGTTCTACTAGCCACATTTTTTAAGGTAAAAAGAAACAGGTGGACTTAATTTCAATATCATCATCTTATTTAAGCTACTATTATCAAAAATATTCTCATTTTAACATGTAAGCAATATTTTAAAATGAGATTTTTTTTCATACTATATTCCTAATCAGTTGCTTAAAGCACAGCAATGTGAACCAGCCACGTGTCATGTGCTCCAGTCACATGGCCAGTGGCTACCAAATGGAACCACATAAATCAACACGGTCAGTTAACAAATATGCTATAGCTGATAATAAGACCCATATATTTGTACTTTTTCCCCCAAAGGAAAAACATCTTGCCTTGAGACGGGAAGACTTTTGAAATATTTAGACCTACCAAAAAAAAAAAAAAAAGACATCTTAATCATTGAGGTTGCTGATTCGTCATCAAACTTTAGCCACTGTTCTCTAATTGGTCTACTACTCATTCCATGAATACCCACTGGCTATTGTAAGGTTCTCCTGTTGTTAGGTGTATCAGATGATTTCTCCTGCAGACTCCACAGCACACATATTTTGGAGTTCATGGGGATGAACAGCTTGTCATCTAGTTATGTTGTAAATGTTGTCCGGGTTTTTTTTGGTTGCTATATTCTAGCCATCACCATCATCCCAGAACTTAATTTGTAAAACACATGCACATATTACTGATAAAAATAAACTTTTTTAAAGAAAGAATATTGTTGAATGTTGTCCCTTGTTTTATCTTTGGCTGAAAATGTGGAATAAAGGGGACCCAAAAAAATAGTGTAGGCTTGTAGGGAAGGGAAGAACAAGAAACACTTCCAAGGACTGCCCTGAGCACAAGAGGCTGGGAAGAGAGAGGAAAAGCTTGGATCCAAACCCAACGACTGGCCACAGGGAAAACAAGCAGATGAATGGTGAACGAGCACGCATACCCTGGAGATTCCCCATACTAAAAATAGAGAGTCCCCTTACCATGGCATAAAGGAGCTGCTAATGGAATTAAAGTGATCCAGACAACGGGTTCATTCCTTAGTCAGCCGCTAAGAAAAAATACAGGCTTGAGTATGATTTTGGAAAACAGTGATTATTAGGCCAGCTGCAAAGCCACCCACAAACTGTCTCATTTGCCAGTGGACACAGTACTTGGTGGCACCGGAGGGACACTGCAGGTGGAAAGGGGCCTCGGTCTCCTGTTCCAGAGCCTTTCCCTCGTGCTGCTGCTGAGCCACCGTCAGCACATGCCTGTCTGGCGGCGCCCGGTGAAAGCCGTGGTGCACGTTCTCCAGGTGTGCAGGCCCCAGAGGCAGCTTTCTCACGTGCACTGGCACCCCAACCCATGACTGCCTAGTTTCCCTGGCCCCATCTGTCACCTGCCGGTGGCACCTCAGCACGTTGCATCCAGCGGGCCACACATCGCCTTCAATGAGACCGAGCTCAGCCTGCGGGCAGGGCAAGGCTCGTCCAAGCCTGTCCCTTCCTCGGGTCCTCCCCTCAGTCTACAAGCAGCGGCTGCTCCCTGCGGCCGCTCATCCTGCACTTTTTAGAGATGGACGGGCCTCTCTTTCTGGTAAATCAATCCCATTACTAGTTACTAATTCTTCATACTGAATTCTCCCTGTTCAAATTCAGGTAGGCTTTCTTTCTCCTGAATAGTCTTGAACCCTAAATGGTACCTTAATCACCTGTAAAGTTTAAAAGAGGGCATACAATGGTGTGGCTGAGTTGGTTGACGCATCATCCCATACACGGAAAGGTTGTGGGTTCGATTCCTGGTCAGGGTGTATAAGGAAGGCAACCAATTGGTATTTCTCTCACATTAATGTTTCTCACTCTCCTTCTCTCTCTCTCTCTCAAATCAACAAAAGCATATATCCTCAGGTGAAGATTTAAAAAAAAGAAGTGTATTTTCTAAATCAAATCAATAAGAAAATTAAAGCCAGAAAATTACAGTCTTTTTTAGGAAATAAGAGAAATCAGTGAGAAAGCATAAAACATGATCACAGAAGACCAAAATGAGAAACTAACAAAAGCAAATGGATTAGACTCTCCTAATAAAATGCAGACTCTCCAAATGTGCTGAAATATAAAAAGACATGCTGTGTGAAAGACAACTAAAAAGTATATCATTATAAATAAAAGGGTAAAAATTAATTTATCAAGCAAATATAAACAAAAAGAGGACAGAAATATTCTAGTATTCAAGAAGTCAAATTCAAGGCAAAAAAAAACATAAATAGGACAAAAAGAATAACTTTACAGACTAGCAAGTCTTCCTTATAAACTGTACTTAACAGACACAAGTATCTGCATTAAATAATAGTATCAAGCCACACAAAGCAAAAGCTAAAACAAGATAAAAATTGAGAGCCCTAGCTGGTTTGGCTCAGTGGATAGAGCGTCAGCCTGCGGACTGAAGGGTCCCAGGTTTGATTCCGGTCAAGGGTACATGCCTGGGTTGTGGGCTTGAGACCCAGTAAGGGGCATGCACAAGACAGCCAATCAATGATCCTCTCTCATCATGGATGTTTCTATCTCTCTTTTGCTCTCCCTTCCTCTCTGAAATCAGTAAAAAATATATATTTTTTAAAAAGATAAAATTGAGCCGGGACCGGCTTGGTTCAGTGGATAGAGCGTCAGCCTGGGGACTGAAGGGTTCCGGGTTTGATTCCGGTCAAGGGCATGTGCCTTGGTTGCGGGCACATCCCCAGTGGGGAGTGTGCAGGAGGCAGCTGATCAATGATTCTCTCTCATGGATGTTTCTAACTCTCTATCCCTCTCTCTTCCTCTGTAAAAAAATCAATAAAATAAAGATTATTTTTTGTTGTTGTTAAAAAAAAGATAAAATTGAGAAATAACTATATTAGAAGACTTTAAGCTAACATTACTAGTCTATGATAGTTTATAACCAAAAAAAAAATTGGAATAATGTGATTAAAGTGGATGAATGAAGTGAAACACATGTTCACCTGTCCCACACAAATGGATTCAACCTTCGTTTAAAACACCCACAGAATATTTTTTAAATGAGGCCCCAAAACCTCAATAAATTCTAAAAGGCAAAAAGTATGCAAGCCATATTTCCTTTCCACAAGGATAAAACCCTACAAGTAGCAAAAATTGAAAAATAAAGAAAAGGCCAACAACACAGAAATTTTTAAATATTCTTAATAAATCAAAACTTTAAAACAACAATAAACTACTTATAAAACACATCAACATAGCCGGGATGTGAGCATATTTAAAATTAGAGAAAAACAAAAGCCTTCAATGTATTAATTTGTATACAAACAAAAAAATAATCATCAGACTCAAAAGTTATAGGGAAGACATCAAGAGAAAACAAAAATAAAAATAAAATGAGAAAATTAATAGAAAATCACAATTGGATAAATCTAAAGTGTTTTAAAAGGAAAAAAAAGGATACCATTAGCAAGAAAAAAATAAGAATGGTAGGCCTAAGGTAAATTTTTTATAACCTAAGAGCAAATTCAATAGAAATTTCTTATTCTTCCTATTAAAATTCTATGCTAATAAATGCACTGCATTTCAAAAAATAAAAATAAATTTGCTAGAAAAATATAAATTACCTAATTTAGTAAATAATAAACACAAAAGGAAAATGCAGTTGGAAACAAATTTTTAAAGTTACTTAAATTTAAAATAGATGACATATTAATAGTCACAAAAGAAACTGATAGTTATCAAGAAATTCTTTCCAGAAAGGGCTCTGAATTCTAGTTTTATAAGCACAGTCCTTCAATATTTCATGGAACAAATCACTCCTGTGCTATAATATAACTGCTTAATGCATAGAAAAATATATACGGTTATCCTATCCGCTTTATAGAGCTAGCAAAATCCCTATATCAAAACTTGGACAATAGCCAAACTCACTCATGTAAAAATGCTATTTTCCTAAGTAAAATATTAGCAAATCAAATTCTACAGTAACATTAAGGCAGGCACATTTTAGGAAAAATGCATTCCAGAGGACACCACGTATTTTGAAACTAATTTGCCCAAAAAAATAAATGTAAGAGCAGGGGCTGCACAGTTGCAACAGCAGAAGTCACAATCACTGCAGTGTCTTTTTTCTGAGGCTGCTTTTTCTTATTTCACCATTATTTCCTACTTCAAAAAGGACTCTTGCTCACAGTGGTAGTTTCTTTAGGATCTTGATCACATTTCATTTCTGTCCCAAAGTTAGAGACTTGAACATCCTTTTCAATACCAGTTTTAACACTACCACCTCATGAATGCCTGTAAGAGAATAGAGAACTATGACTCTCGCTCCAAGGGTGCTGGTAAGGAACCCGAGCTTCACAGGATATTAACCAAGTGTGATGGCATGTTTGTTTACCAGCCAAAGCTGTATTGCTATGTGGCAAAAGCATGAACACTTTACAAATGTACTGAGATGCCAGTTTTGAAATTATGCAATGCAATTCTTGGTCACTTTTTAAGCCATAAGTAGTAAAACCTCAATAAAGCAGGTTAATTTGGGCAAAGGGGTGTAACTGTTAAAGCCAAAAGTCCATTATATAGTAAAGTAGTTTTTCCAAATGGGTGTTAAAAAATAGACAAATTAGTTTCCCTGTATTTTGTGTGTGGTTTTTTGTTAATCCTCACCCGAGGACATTTTTTCCATTGATTGTTTTTTTTCATGTTTTTGTTTTGTTTTGGTTTTTTTTTAGAGAGTGGAAGGGAGAGAAGAGGGGGGAGAGAGAGAAAGAGAAAAAGTGAGAGAGACACATCTATTGGCTGCCTCCAAGCATACGCCCTGATCAGGCCTGGGGATCGAACCTGCAGCCTAAGTATGTGCTATTGACCAGGAATTGAACCTACGATCCTTTGGTGTGTGGACCATGCTCCAAGCACTTAGCACCACCGGTCAGGGCTGGTCTACCTGTTTTACTTCTGAAGATACATTTTGTGATTAAAATTATGTGTGAAAAGTTTAATTTCACAGAAAGGCTTTCTGTATGTACTGCTGTAATTTTACATTTTTTCTGCATTCACCAGTCACCACAAGTAAAGAAATGCACATGGCTGGGGCATGGCTTAGCACCCAGAACATCTGCCCCCATAAGAAAATTCCTGCAGAATGTCACACCACGTGACAACAGATCCAATTTCCTGCTTGATCACATGCCAATCATTTGCTAAACATTGTTTACGAGCACTGATTCTTGGATTTAAATATGTAGATTACAGTTTTACCTACGTGATATTTACTTTCGTAATATTTATTTATGTAGGTGAAATTACTACAGTATTTTTCCAACATATAGCCTATCTGCTAAAAATTGTTAATATCAGTGAATTAATAACAACAAAATAACCTGTTAATTTAATTATAAGCAAATCTTGGTTAAAAGCATTTTAGAATTAACAGGGTGTTAATCTTCACATATAATATATGAACTGAAATTTTGTCTTTTAAATTCGAAGTCCATTAAATCAAGGGTTTACTGTATATATATTACTTCAAATTTTGAAATCAAATTGAGTCCTGACTACTATTATTAGATCAACGATTTTAAATCGGTATAATTCAAGTCTACGTAAGATGCAATGCAGGTAAACTGTAAACCTTTTTTTTTTTAAATTATTCTACCTGATCCCAGTTCAAAGCTGGTTAAACGTTGTTAAATCTGTTAGTATGTCCTCAACAACGCTCTTCCTCTGGGAGCACCCCACACCTTTCTTCCCTCAACGTCCGGCATCTCCTAAACGCAAAGGGTCCCCGGACACTTGCAACCGGGGGAGAGAAGGGCAGGGCTCACCCCTGTCTCCCGGGCCGCCCTTTATGGGACTTTTCAGCGCGCTAAAGCAGCCCAGGCTTGGCTCATTTCTTTCCTGGAACATCTCTGGGGAGTGACAGCAGCCCGCCTAGGCTCTCTCCTCCTGCTTCTTCTGTTTTAAGCCCTTCCTTCTATCACTATCCCCAGCTTTAACAAATGTATTCTCATTTTCAAAAATGTCATCAACACAATCAAATGAAAATAATTATATAATTATGTTAATACCCAAAAATCACATTTGACTAAATTCCTGAGCCATACCTAATTTAAATTCTTTAAAAACTAAAACTAGAGGGAAGTTTCCTTTCTAGATGAAGAATATCTAGATGACTAAAAACAGCAAACCTAAAGGTAAAACACTGCTAGGGATGTTCCCATCAGAAAACAAGAATATCTACCATTACAGTCGTTATTTTATGTTGTTCTAAACATTTCAACCAACAAAACATGCACACAAATTAAATAAGACTATTAGGAAAACATCATTAGTCATAGCTATGAAAGCAATTCTTAGAAAACCCAGGCAAAATTACCAGGGAAAGGACTAGAATTAAGTAGATCCCAAGAAAATATAAATTTGTGACTTGGCCAGAATTATTGCTGTTCAGATCTTTCCATGCCTCCCTCAGGACTGCTTCCTAGTCTGAGTCGCTCCTGTGTGCCTAGACCACTGCACTGGACTCGTGAACTAACTGGATTCCTTATTTTCAACCTGGGGAGAGATCACACAGTAGGGCCCAGGATGTTCCAATAACAAATCTGACTATGTCATTCCTTTGCTTAGAAGGAAAGTTTCCCATCATAGTTAGAATAAGATCCAAATTCCTTATAAATATGGCCCTGTACAACCAGGCCTTATACAAATGCCATCTGGACATTGGCCATTCTGACTTTCTGTTCCTCAAATACACCTTTGTGCTAGTTTTTCACTTTGTTGGCCTTGGGCTCTCTTTGAATCTCACAGGATGGCTCCTTCTAAGATGTAGTCACATCCTACCTTAAATGTTCTTCCCTAGAGATCTCTTGGATCCCCCCACCTAGAGCATCCACCAGTTGCTATTTCTCATCGCTCTATGTTAATTCCCTCCACTGAATCTAAAGTTCATGATCTGATACTTTTCCCTGCATATTGATTATTTCCCCCACAATGCCGCCTCAGTGACAGCAAGAACTGTGTCTTAATAACCATTCAATGTTTTAAAGTTCCTACCATGTAAGAGTCGCTCAGTAAACACTTGAATTTTAGTTGCCTGTCGTTGTCAAATAAGCTTAAGTGCCACAAAACAGGAAGTATGCCTATTTTATTAACTGTTCTATCCCCAGGACTCTGACAATAAATATCTCATGAATGAATGTATTCCTCCCTCCCTTTTAAGACCCTAATATTCTAAAAGTAGGCCATTTTTTTTTGGTGAATTCAACATATTTTTACCCTTTTTTGACACTGATAGCCAGCGACTGTCCTAAATGATTTCCTATGCATTATTATAAAGTTAAATCTTCTCATTTCTACCCATGCATTACCCAAATTCTACATTTGTGTGACTGACTTGTTAAGATAAACACAGAGCTTTAATAATTAAAAGTTTACTAGCCTTGTTGAAATTAATCTTTAAAATGCCTTTGTTGAAAAATATTTACAAGAAAATAACAGGTCAAGAAATGTTTTGAGCCCTAATCCATAAACTATACATGTAAGTAGCTGGGCAGAGAAGACATCATCCCTAAAATTATATTGAGGGGGGAAAAAGGTATTAAAAAGTTAATCTATCTTGTCAGTGTATAGACAAATGATCATTGTATGCTAAAAAAGTAAAAACTAACAAAGCCACAAAAGGATTGCCTTTTTAGAATTTAAGTTAAGATGCTAGATCACCATTTGATTATCCCAGAGTTACTCATTAAATATGATACAGAGTACATATTCGCTGGTTTGTGGGCACTTTTAAGTATCCAATTACTTCAAACAAAAGGCTACATTCTCAATTTTTTAGGTTTTTATTCAAGAGTATACTCACAAGCGGCACTTAAAAATCAGGCTTTTAAAATAAAGGCCGAAACTGAAAAAAAAAATTTTTGCAAAGGTGACACTGATAAAAGGATGATTGTCATAATTTAAACCCTAAAATGTCCTGTGGAGTCAAAGGATTTATACACAGAATGTGTTAGATCGATACCGTTTAAAATAAACAATCTGAAGACCACAGATAGGGGCAAATTTGTCAATGAAGATAAACATCAGTTTCAGCCTTCCAGGGTACGAAAACCAGCAATTAGTGATAGAGTACACACTGTGCTTCACATTTTGGACGTTAAAGATTCTTTCTCCAGCAACAAATCAGCGTATCTTTGCTGAAGCTCCTTTTCTCTTTCCTGTTGCCGCTGTACGTCTTCTTTAAGACACTTGAAGAGACAAAGATATGAAATAATTATTTCATATGTAAGTAATGAAAATTAAAAAGATCTTATGGCACTTTATCATCCTACAAACAGCTGAGTTCAGTCCTGACCCTTAAGAGGCAAGTATTGCCCAAAGAGAAACAAAAACAGGGGCTATTTTAGCTAGAACACAAATAATGCTAAGGCCATTCTTTGATTAGTTATATTAACTACCATCATTTTGTAAAATCTCTGCTTCTATCGCAAATAAACAAGCCATTATTATCCTATTGATACCCACGAATGCACTTTATCATGTGCACTGAGGAAATAAAGTTAAATGTGACCAAAGCAACTTGATGCTTTGGAATGAGCACCTATATTCCCAGCACCCTATTACCAATCAAAAAGACATCAGTTTAATGTACCTTGGAGAGCTATATGAATGGAATACAGTTTAGTTTCGGGGGGAAATAAAATCTCAAGGGTTACTTATTCCATTCCATAATGTATCTTTATACAAAACAGAATATTAGTGAAGGAAAAGCCTGGTCTATCCATCCAACCCCTGGCAATTCTAGGTCAGAAAAGTTTAGCTCTGATTGAAAAAAAGCGAGACAACATCAACTACCAAATATCTTTCCTGCACAGGAAAGAAATAAAAATAGGAGAGCCCTGGATAGTTCTATGTGGCTCTCTTTCAAGCAAAGCTGCAAGGCAATCATGGTACCTCTAGCCTCCGGGGAATCGCAGAATCTTCGTGTTTCTTGAGTTCTTCAAAAGTGCGTAACTCTAAGTAAGCCTGCTCAATTTGGTCCCATAAGTCATTCAATTGTTTCATGAGCCCCATAGCACGAGACTGGTAACCCCCAAGCAAAATTTTCATCTTCTTTTCCATCTTTGCAGCTCTCTTGGCTTCTGTCGTCATGTGACCCCTGTTTATCTGGGGGAGATCACATCAGCACACATGAGAAAAGCAGGTTAAGTAACAGGACTACAGAGACAGCACTACTTCAGAGCAGCAGCACACTGCAGTTCCTTATTCTTCAGCTATCATACACAAAATCAGGCTTAAGAAGGATCTGTGTTGCACCTGAAGGATTTTATAACATTTATAATAATTTCACCCATGATTCAATCGCAAAGGCAGGCTTGAACTTCATAGTATGGAAAAACTAATCTCTACTTCTGAAAATAACTTCAGCTATCATTAATCTGCATTGATTTTAGAACTGGTAGTAACTCATTTTCACCACCTACAGCTCAAAAATGTACTTCTACATTATACATATACATTTTTAACAGCTGTGATCAAAACCTAAGTCTTCAAACTATAAAATCACTAGGTTATTTTTATAATGTCAAAACCCTAAATTTGGCATATAACCCATTAAGGAAAAAGAGTATCACATATGTCAACACAATTTTTTAATTTTTGAGAAGTGAAAGAACACGATAAAATTAAGGAAAAAAAAGTGATAGTTTTCTATTAAATATGCATATTGAGCACAGGTGGGATGCCTCCTCAAACCATTCTAAAATTAAAAGAATTAAAAATATATAAACTGACAAAAGAACAGGAGAAGGACAATTAACAGAAGAAAGATTTGAACAAAATTCTAAAGCCGCTGCAGGCAACAAGGAGCAAAGGGTCCCAGGACTTCGAGAGGGTGCAGGAAGGGCTGAGGGACACTTTCTCCTTCCCCTCCCCACCCCCCAACCCCCAGTGCACAAAATTATGTGCACCGGGCATCTAGACTGGTATAACAGCATAATACTTATGCTCAGAAAGTGTTTATCTAGTCATGAAGGTGCACTGAGTATAATCGGTACCTTGTATCTGGGAATTACCACCTCACACACAGTTGAGTCATTTATTATTCCCAAACTACCAAAGATTTTAAAACTACAAAGTTGCTAGCTTCCATTTAATATCAACAATTACATTTAATTTAGTCCAAGCTTTATGAAACTCTTTTGGCTCAAATGTGCTAAAGCCCTAGCTGGTTTGGCTCAGTGGGATAGAGCACTGGGCTATGGACTGAAGGGTCCCAGGTCCGACCCCAGTCAAGGGCACATGATGGGTTGCTAGCTCCATCCCCAGTGTAGGGCATACAGGAGGCAGATGATAAATGATTCTCTCTCATCATTGAGGCTTCGATCTATCTCTCCCTCTTCCCTTCCTCTCTGAAATCAATAAAAATCTATAATAATAGAAAGTATAATATGCTAATTAGACCAGATGATCTTCCAGAAGCTGGTGCTGGGAGGGAAGTCTGGGTCCTGGGTACCAGAGGGAAGTGTCGACAGCCAGGGGAAGGAAAGCCTACTCTTGCACAAATTTCGTGCATCAGGCCTCTAGTATGCATATAAAAAAAGAAAACTCTCCGCTATTAACATATCAAATATCTCTTCTCTTTAAATTCTCTTTAAAAAAATATTGTGTTAAAGATTCCAAACAAATATGGAAATAAATTATATTAAAAATATATAAGTATGGGAAAAAATTAATTTAATTTAGGCAACTATATCAAGTTAGTAACTAAAAACATTTAAAAAATGGAATTCCCGTAATAAAATGGATTTTCAAATTCAATTTCTACTCTAAAGGTCAATTATTTTAAGACCATACACCAAAAACCACAAAACATTAATACAATGAAGTATAATATAGACATTAAATGCACAAGTATGTCAACTGTTTCAACACACCAAAACATATATGTGATATGTTAAATTAAAATTCCCAATTATGTAAAATCTATGTATACTAACCAAAATCAGACTGTCTTAATTTCTCTCCTAAAATCAACTATATCTCAAATTTCTGACATTCATCAAAATGTATGGAATAAAAACTCAACCCCCTGCTGTTTTGATTCTATGCTGTTCAAGGTGAAGTTCCTTTTTGTTACCTTAAATGTATAAAACCAGGTTTACCCCTTTTAGGTAAGGATGAACTAACCTGAAAGACATGGGAGAAAATTCCCATTTGCTATTTGCTAAGCACATTATCTCAAACTCTCACTTCCATGACATTAAAACTATTACAGATAAAGAAATTTGAGATCCAGAGAGGTTAAGTAACTTGCCTTAGCCCACACAGCCACTAAGTGATGAAGCTATGCAGTTATGTCCTACTTTAAAAACCCAACATATTAGGCCACACCACAGCTAATAAAATGGAAGTCCCCCCTGCCTCAGTCCCCAAACTGCAAAAATGCCTAAAGAAATTCAAGTTGTGGAACTATGGCTTACTGCACCAGACAGTTTCCTGAAAAATTATTCCAGACACATGTAAACAAAATCATAATTAATGGATCTGCTTATCACTCTTCCCCTGATTTAGACAATGACCTGTACCTACCCACTTATAAGAATTTGACACTTCAGAAAAGTTTTTACTTTCCCCAGCTTATGTTTTTAAATTCATAATTCTTTAATTCTTAACAAACTATGAAACTATAGGAAAACAAACATCTCTCAGAAAAATTTTGCAGAGGAAAAAAGTTACTAACAACTTTTTAAGAAGTTGGGCAGAATATAACTTGTGTAATTATTTGGAGATTTCGCCAAAGCTAATCCTTGCCACTAACTTTAAATGAGGGCGAGTTATCAGGTTTCTTTTTATTTTTTAATGATATTTATAATATTACTAGAGACCCAGTGTATGAAATTCATGCACAGCTAGAGTCCCTAGGCCTGGCCAGCAATCAGGGCCAAATGGGGCCTACCAGCTGTCGGTTGGGGCCTTCCTTTGTTCCTGGCCACACCCTGGTGGTCAGCACATGTCATAGCAAGCAATCAAACTGCCAGTCTTCTGGTCGATCTCCCAAGGAGACAATTTGCATAGTTGCCTTTAATATATATCGATAAATACTATTCAGTGAACAAAGCAGTATATGATGATCCCAATTTAAACACCTTCCTCCTTTCATCCACAGATATTATGTATAGTAACTTTTTTTTCCTATCATATGTAATCTTATAAATATGTACTCACACATCTATGAAAATACACACACCCAAGATGTCATTTTGTGATTGTCTAGATGGTAGGCTCTTTTCTTCGATTTTAAAATTTCTTTTTAAATTTCTCTTTAAAGTACAGGTATTATTTTTAAAAAAGCACCCCAAATGTTATTTTTAAATGCATAGAAAAGAAACTGTCTAAAAAAGACTGGCCAGAGACCAATGGAAAACTGATGGTCCCCAGGAGATGAATCAGTGGAACCATAAGTGTTTCCTTGGGTCATTATAAAAGGAGGCTGTATGGGACTTATAAAAGTGTAATTGTTACTTTCAAACTCACTAAGTTTGTTAAGGTTACTAAGCTTAAGTAATTCCAAAATAAACACATTATCCTTGGGTCTCCAATACCGTCTTCAGTTAAAGTCTGTAACAGTGAGGTTCGGAAAAATTAAGAGCATCCCTCACTGAAACTCTTGCTTTGGGGCCCATAACATAACTTTATACCACTGGAAAAGCAGGTTTAAGGATACCCAAAATAAATACAGAGTTAATGGCAACTCCACTCCCAGTCCATCATTCAGCAATATGATCCTACACTAGTAAAGATGTGGTTCAACCATCGAAATGTTTGCAAACAAGAGTCCGTGAGTGGCTCTTTTATCTCTATATAGCTTATTTAGCAGTAAGTTTTATCAACAAACCTTCTTTATATTGATGAGATGCAGGTCCAATAAGTGATTATTGTCACATCTATCAGAGTTAGCAACTGTCTAACTGTTAGATTGTAACCCTGCAAAGCAAGCTAAGCACTAAGGCAAAGCCTTACTAAACACCTTTGCAGGGCAGGAATGTACCAACAAAGCAATCAAGTGGCCTAGCACTTTACATCTGCACAAGTTAGGAAATGGAACACCAATCCTGAGGCATAACAGAAGCAAAATGGTTGTGCCAAGGGGATCTCTGGTATAGCTAGGAACAACCAAGACATCTGCCAGTGCCTTTAGGGTTCACGGTAGACCAGAACTTCAGAAACAGAGCATTCCAAAGTTCTGGGAACTCTTCTCCTGAAGCCCTTGCCTCCAAACACACACATCACACACCTACACACACACACACACACACACACACATGCACACACACACAGCAATATAAGCATAAGTCTGAGATACAACATATAGTCCTCCACCCAGAATTGTCCACGAACTTAATCCTTACCCTAAGTTTTCACTATTTAAAGTATTAAAGGAATATTTTTCCTGTACTACAACATCTGACTTTATAATGGAAGTCACTGAGAAAATGGAATCCATTATGCAGCCAATTTTGTTGAAACATAACCATTCAGTTAAGGCAGGGGTCCTCAAAGAGTTCTACAAATACACTGAGAATAATTTTAAATGTGTTATCTGTGTTCTTTAAGTTACTTTATTTCCAAAAAGTCAATGTTACATAATACTTCTTGACTAAGCTGACTGTGCCAGTAAAGTACAGGGAGAAGTATTACTTCTGGACCTAGTTTCCACCTCTAAGGAAAGTCTTTCCATTTTTATAGCGAACATGACAAAATCTACTTTTCAGCCAAACTTCCTAAACACAGCAGTTTAGATATCATTTCAAATACTATTAAATTTAACAGCAGGCCTAAATTCAGACTTCTCATTTCACTTTTGCACCTACTGGAAATTATTTCACTCAAAATAATTATGTCTTCAGATGATTTCCTATTTCCACTTAAAGTGGAAACAAATTAGAACACTTCAAATTCTATTTGCACTTCCCAAATACAGTAATGACTCATTTATCTGGCATCGTCAGAAAGGGAGGTTCCCCACATGAAGGTTTCCCAGATAGCTGAAGTCCGCAGGAGCAGAGCGTTCATCTGCCTTGTTTCCTGCTGTACCTCCGGGCCTGGCACATGGGCTGGCACATAGCATATGCCCAGTAACATTCACCAAACATGTGATTAAATAAAGTACTAAAGCTCTTTTATTTTTAACCATCTGGTGAAAACTTTTCTAGGTATAGCCATCCCTCTTAAAAAAATAAATTAATTAAAAAAATAAAATAAAATGACACTGAACAGAAATTAAGCTTTTCTTATTTATTTGGGGTTTCTCCATAAACAGCAATCACTCTACCATCCTACCATACACCTATAATGCTCTCACAGAAGCTATTAAAGCTATTAAAATTCATAGGACTTTTGCTACCATATTTAAATGGCATTGACATGCCATGCTTTCTAACTTTTCTTTTTCTGATATTAGCTGTCATTTCTATTTGCTGTTGCTGCCTTATTTTACACACAAATGTCTGGCAAGGTTCTAAAATGGATTCTGCCTCCAAAGCAGAATAAAATGCATGGACCTGGTTATAATTCAGAAGTCTTTCCCACTTACTTCTGACTTGTGTCTACATTCTGGTTCTATTAACAGACTCTTACACCACCCACCACATTCTTCATAAAATCTGAGGTGGTTCTATTAGTTTTAAATGAGTATCATATATTAATCATGAGTAATGAGTCAAAGACTAGCTCCAATATAAACCTCTGGGTACTTTTTTTTAATCCATTTAGGAGACACCAACATCGACAAAGCTGGATTTCATCTTGCTTGATATACTGTGATAGAGCCATAATTTAAATTCACTGTTCCAAAGTTCATGGCATCAAAAATCAAACAACTGACTGCTATGGTACACTGTGCTTACACAGAAAGGCATATCTCCCTGAACCTAAGAGTGGAAAGGATAATTTAAGTATAGCATTTAGTTTGTATAATACAACTGGAGTTCGTTCCCCACAACAAACTTTGAATAATGTTTATAATTTAGCAATCAACTGAAATGATGAAAGAATTACCACAATTGAAATAAAATATTTATGTATTTCAAACCAGTAGAATTGTATCTTCAAAAACTAAAATAAGCTAAGACAAACCTAGTTCTGAATTAGGGATGGATACCAGTAAAATGGGGGATTGTTTATTTGGGTTTTTTAGTCTCTTTTCTTCTTTTTAAAGATTTAATGAACTTTCATTTGAAATAAGCACAGCTTACTAAATTAAAGGATTTGATTACATATCCTTTAAAAGTAACTAGTTGGGTAAACAATATCCAGGAGTCAAGAAAAGAAAAATTACTTCAAACTGTTTTATGAATATTCTTCCAAAATCACCAATACTTCAACAAAAATAGTTCAACGGAAGATTTCAGTTCCTGGTACTGAAATGAACAAAGAGAACCACATGTTTTTAATGGTGGCTTATAAATGACCCAAATAAATCTCCAAAAGAACAGCAGTGGTTCTTTCTGTACTTTTCCCTTCAAAACTCACAAGACCAATTCAACATAGACATAAAAATTACTGTACTTTATGGCACCACTCACTTTGTGACACATTTATTTGCTGTCATGAAAGTTAGTGCCTCAACAAAGTAAATGAGATTTAGGAAAAACTTTTTTTTACAGTTTAAACAGCACAAAATGTCCTTACCATTTGAGGCAGAAAAGAGTTTACCCACCTCAAATGAGATGATTTTCTAACTAAGTGAGAGACCTAAGTATTTATATATAAATGTTACAAGAAGCTTTCCAAATAGCTTTCCAATCAACTATGATGCTGACCTTAGATCAGAATTACACTAACTACCATTTATAAGAAATGGAGCCTACACAACAGAAAACATAAAATTTAACCACTGATGTTCTACTTTCCCTGACTCTGTGAATTAAAACAGAACAACAGCACACCCTGCTGGAAATTAGTAATACAACCAGAATAACCAGCAACACTGGATTGCTAGGATTCCATTCAAGATGAGAATTACATCAAAAACAAATTCTAATTTCCCACTAAATGATAAAAGAAGTTCACAAACATTAGCCATTGCATACCTATATATGTGATCTTAAAAATAAAGACTTAGAATAACTTCAAATAAAAAGATAACACTTTTTCTCCTTGGATGTGTTTCTTTGGGCGGGCAAGGGCAACAAAATAAAAAATAAGCAAATGGGATTCATTAAACAAAAAAGCTTTTGAAGAGTGAAGAAAACAAAACAAAAAGACAACCTATTAAATGGGAAAAGATACTTACAAATGATATATCTGGTAAGTGCTTGATATCCAAAATTAATATAAAGAATTTATAAAATTCAGCATTAAAAGTAATACAATTAAAAATGGGCAGAAGACCTAAATAGACATTTCTCCAAAGATATACAGATGGCAAACAGACATATGAAAAGAGGCTCAACCTCACTAATTATCAGGGAAATGCATATAAAACCACAATGAGATATCATCTCACCTGCCAGAATGGCTGTCATCAAAAAGACAAGTAACAATGGTTAAGATGTGGAAAAAGGAAACTTATGTGAACTGTTGGTGAAACTGTAAATTGGCACAGACACTATGGAAAATAGTATGGAGGTTCCACAAAAAAACTAAAAATAGAGCTGCCATACAGTTCAGCAATTTCAACTGCCCTCCCCTGCAAACCCAATCACCTCCAACTGCCCTCGTCTGCCAGCCTGATAGCCCCAATTGTCTTCCCCTGCCCACTTAATGGCCCCCAACTGCCCTTCCCTGATCTTGTGATGACATGGCCATTTTGTGACGACATGGGGGTGGCCATCTCTGTGGCGCCATCTTGTGATGAAACGAGGGTGAAACGGCATCTAGGCTTTTGTTAGTATAAATGTGTGAGTGTGTGTGCGTGTGTGTAATGTAATATTACTTAGCCACAGGGGGGAAAAAACATGGAATTTTGCCATTTGTGACAACATGTATGGACCTAGAGGGTATATGCTGGGAGAAATAAATCAGAGAATGACAAACAATTCACTTATAAGCGGATTCTAAAAAAATAAGCAAAGGAACAAACAGACTCATATGAAGTAAAACTGATTGGTGCCAGAGAGTTGAGTGATGGGAGAATGGGCAAAAACATGAAGGAGATTGAGAGGTACAAACATAATTCAAACCTGTAAATCACAGGAATATAACAGAGTTAGGGAATACAATCTATATCATCACAGTAACTTTGTACTGTGACAGACTATCAGGAGACTGCTCGTGGTGACCACTTTGTAAGGTACAAAAGTATCAAATCACAATGTTGTACAACTGAAACTAATATTATATTGTATGTCAACTATACTTTAATTAAAAAGGTCTTTATACCCTGGCCAGGTTCATCGTCCTATACATCAAAAGGTTGAGGGTTCAAATCCTAGTCGAGGTGTATATGGGAGGCAACCTATCATGTTTCTGTTTCTCTCTCTTTCTCTCCCTCCCTCCCTTTTTCCTCGATGGGGGGGGGGGAAGACCTTACATTCCAGAATTTTAAAAATGTATTGCTTTTTTCCTTTTTCCTGCTCCTTTCCCTAGCCCTACATAGCCCTGACCATACCAGTAATTTTATCATTTTTTTATTTTAACCTTAAATAAAAATATTTTCAAATATGCTTGCTGTAAAGAGAAACTGGCAATCACATTAGAGAAAATTGCATAATGTGATTGCATGAAGCACCCTTTCTCCTTGCCATTACAACTTGGCCTCAGAAACATCCCTGAAGACCACCATTAAGAATCCACAAGGCAGCCTAGTGGTCCATGAACCACAATTTGCATGCCACTGGCAAAATGCCTATACGGATTCTGCACTTCAAAAAATGCAGACAATATTAAGAAACCACATGTCATGAAACTCCCATCTGGTACATTTCAACATTTTCACAAACATGAAAAATCATGGAGGCCACTGTCTGGATAATCCAACTCAGCACTCTCTTTGTAACAAACTCACAGGAATCAGAGGATGAACAAAAGGTAAAGTTTTGTAAATGTGCTTTTTTCAAAATATATTTTTATTGATTTCAGAGAGAAGGGGAGAGGGAAAGAAGCACCACTGATGGACTGCCACCTGCACAACCCCTACTTGGAATTGAGCCAGCAACCGAGGCACGTGGCCTTGACCAGAATCAAACTGAAGACTCTTCAGTCCAGAGGCCAACACTCTGTCTACTCTGTCCACTGAGCCAAACCAGCTAGGGCTAAATGTGCTCTTTTGGTTTTAGAAAAAGGCTCTTTGGAACCACTGAGTTTCCTTCTTAGAGAAAACAAACTATTCTAGCACTGATCTACATTGTTCTGAGTGACTAGTGTTAACTTTATTGTTGTTGTTAATCCTTACCTGAGGGTATTTTTCAATTCATTTTTAGAAAGAATGGAAGAGAGAGTGACAGAGAAACATCAAGGTGAGAGACACATGGATTAGTTGCATCCCACATGCACCCCAACCTGGGGCCAGGGATTGAGCCTGCAACCGAGGTACCTACCCTTGAATGGAATCTAACCTAGGACCCTTCAGTCCGCAAACCCATGCTCTATCCCACATGTGTCAAACACAAGGCCCGCGGGCCAAATCCGTCCCGCCAGGCCTTGCAATGTGGCCCGCACCGCGCTGTCATCACTGCACTCCGCTGCGTTTCCATCACAATGACAGTTTATGACTGTTCAGTAAACCATTCGGCCCGCGATTTAGGCTGGATTTTAGATTTTGGCCCCTTCTCTGATTGAGTTCGACACCCCTACTCTATCCACTGAGCTAAACTGGCTAGGGCTAGTGTTAATGTCTTGGCTCCTTGTTCCCATATCTTAAAGGTTCTGATTGACTTGTGGCCAACTTGGAGGCTACTCTTCATCATGAAGGCAAGAACTCATGAAAATCCAATGAAAAAAGAAAGCCAAAGAAGACCAAACACTTCAGTGTAGTTTTTCCTCAAGATTCGCAAAGGCAAATTATCTCAAGTCTATTTTTCTGAAATTGTTTTCAGAAGTATTACTTGGTTCATTATTTCCATCAAAGTACATTTAAAGTAGATACCAACCTCAAGCCTCTTTTCAAGTGACTCAATTCTGTCCTTTTTGCTTGCTAGGTTGGCTCGTGTGTAGCGGCTCTGCCCAGGGAGATACAAAACTTGACTGTAGCATTCTTCCCACACCTGGTTATAAGCTTCACTTGAGAGTTCGCCATGGCTCATACCTTGTTTTACCACTTCCATCTCCTGAACCAGGACATCTTGGGCCTGTTTAAGATAATAATTTCAATAAGTTTGAGTATTAGAAAGACTTGCCATCAACTAGGAACTTTAAAGACTATTTTTCCTCCTCTTTGGACAAAAGCAAGGAGTTCTAGTTGACTGGTTGTTTCTTGGAAGGGGAAAAATGTCTAAGCAAAATGAGTAATGAAGCCTTATGTCAATGCAGACTGACCTGAAAAGCCAAGCATTCATGTAGCTCCAATAATATAAACAATCCTTGCCCTCACTCATTATAACAGCAGCTACCATTTCTCAGGTGTCTACTATGTGCCAGGAACTGAATTTAATAGTTTTGCCTATATTATCTCCAAACACCACAACCACCTTAGAAAGTAGCCAATATTAACCTCATTTTAATGTTGATGACACTAAGGTTCAAAGAGGTGAAATACTTTCTCCAAAAACATATAATTAGTTAGCAGACAAAGCAGGATCGTGTTCAAGCCAAACATCATCAAGGCTTCCACTCTACTATCCCTATCTACACGAAGGACTTCACATGATCATGGAAGGGAATCAGGCATTTTTTGACACATGCCTTTGTTCTCATCTGAAAAAATGTCCCTGACATTGCTAGAGAATGAGATTGGGGGCACAAGTCAAATACTGATGGGTCAAAGGCCAGTTTTTGCTCACTGCTAAAGAAACAGTTCAAAATAACAGAATGAGGAGGTGGGAGGGGAGTTGTACAGGCCTGGCTTCAAACCACAGCTTTACCATTTTAAGTAACTGTTTGAACTTGCTTATCATCTCCCATTTCTCATCTCTAAAATGGGGATAATACACTTAGAGTGCCTAGCTCCGTGGTCAGCAAACTGCAGCTCATGAGCCACATGCGGCTCTTTGGCCCCTTGAGTGTGGCTCTTCCACAAAATACCATGGCCTGGGCGAGTCCATTTTGAAAAAGTGGCATTAGAAGAAGCTTAAGTTTAAAAAATTTGGCTCAAAAGAAATTTCAATCATTGTACTGTTGATATTTGGCTCTTGACTAATGAGTTTGCCAACCACTGGCGTAGCTCAACACCAGACACCCAGATTCTGTGGGCATACCACATGAACTTCTTCCAGCCTTCTGCTTCATGGCTCATGAAAAACTGACAATCACTTTTTGGGCTTTATAGAAAGCATTCAATCATTCTATAGATTGTACCAATCAATATCAGAAAATAAACAGATCAAAATATGTAAAATTAAGAGAAATGATCAGCATACCAAAAAATTTAAACAAAAAATATAAAAACCACGTCTATCCTAATATATAAAAACCCAGGGTCCATAACGTCCATAACGTCCAAAACAACCGAAGGCTCCGACTGGAAATCAGTCCTGCAGTTAGTGCTGGGTTGTGGTAACCCAGCACTGACTGCCACGGGGACTGCGGATCAGGCCCAGAGTGAAGCCCAAAGAGAGGCAGGGTCTGATCCACAGCCCCCATGGCAGCTGTTGATCAGCCGTCGCCTCTCTCTTTCTCTCCAGGCTTCACAAGCAGCTGCACCTCTGTTTCTCTCCAGGAACTGCAGATCAGCCCCGCTTCTATGATCAGGCCCAGAGACAGGCCTGGAGACGCTGACTGGCATAGAAACCAACCAATCAGAACCAAATTGACCAGCAGAGGAGGGCAATTGGGGAGGAGATCAGGCCTGAAGTGAGGGGTTAGGGAGGCAGTTAGGGGTGATCAGGCAGACAGAGGCAGTTAGGGGCAATCAGGCCAGCAGGGGAGAGCAGATGGGAGCAAGATCAGGCCAGCAGGGGAGAGCAGTTGGGGGCAAGATCAGGCCAGCAGGGGAGGGCAATTGGGGGAAAGATCAGGCCAGCAGGGGAGGGCAGTTGGGGGAAAGATCAGGCCAGCAGGGGAGGGCAGTTGGGGGAAAGATCAGGCCAGCAGGGGAGGGCAGTTGGGGGCAACCAGGAAGGCAGGCAGAGGCAGTTAGGGGCAAGCAGGCAGGCAGGCAGCTCAGTGGTTAGGTGCCAGTAAGTCCTAGATTGTGAGAGGGTGCAGGCTGGGCTGAGGGAACACCCCCGCTCCTGTGCGTGATTTTCATGCACCGGGTCACTAGTATAAGATAAATAATTGATATTTTTAAACAATACCTCTTAGGGGAAATAAAGGAAACAAACCAATTTTAACACACTTAATGAAAAGTTGACACTTTATGGTAAGAGAAATGGTATCCCACTTGGAAACTGTACATAATAAAAGTTTATAAATTTAGCTCTTATCATTATTAAAAGAGAATAAAGCTAAGTAATCTTTAAACTGTCCATAAAGAAATTGCTAAATAGAGGGGTGAGAGTAGCTGGGAAGAGGTCAATGGGGGAAAAAGGAGACATATGTTACACTTTCAACGATAAAGAACTTAAATTAAAATAAAATAATAATCTGGTAGATAAACAGCTGCTTCAAATTCTTTTTGGAAAAAAATGGAACTATAAATAAATAAATATGAAAAAATATTTAAACTAATTTGTAATGGTTTTTTTAATAATTCTAAAGCACTATTTATAATTACTACTTTCAAAATTTTATTAAGCCCTAGTCAGTGTGGCTCAGTGGCTAAAGCATCAGCCCCAGCAGGGAAGGGTCCTGGGTTTGGGTTCCATTCCCAGTCAAGTGCCTGGGTTGCAGGTTCAATCCTCCGCTGGCCTGGATGGGGCAGTTACAGGAGGCAACTAATTGATGTTGCTCTCTCACATCTCTCTCTCTCTCCCTCCCCCTACCCTCTCCCTTCCACTCTCTCTTAAAAAAAAGAAAATGGAAAAATATCAGGTAAGGGTTAACACTTTTTTTTTTAATTAAAAATGTATTATAATCTATCCCCTACAGAATCTCTATTAGCAATGATGTGATCCTTTATTTTTCTTTTTTAATCCTCAATCAAGGACATGAATTGATTTTAAAGAGAAAGAGGAAGGGAGAGAAGGAGGAAGGGAGAGGGGGAGGGGAAGGTTACGAGAGAAAGAGAAGAAACTCTGATGTCAGGGAGAATATCAATCAGTTGCCTGCCCTATGTTCTCCCATCTGGGGATCAAACCTGCAACCTAGGTATGTGCCCTGACTGAGAATTGAACCCAAAATTTATTGGTGTATGGGAATGATGCTCCAAGCAACTGAGCCACACCTGAAATAAGGGCAGATGTGCTCCTTATTTCAGGTGTCCATACATACAATAATTTTACAAAAGCTTAGTTCTTTTTTTTTCTTTTTCTTTTTTAATATTTTATTGATTTTTTACAGAGAGGAAGAGAGAGGGATAGAGAGTCAGAAACATCGATGAGAGAGAATCACTGATCAGCTGCCTCTTTGCACACCCCCTACTGGGGATGTGCCCGCAACCAAGGTACATGCCCTTGACCGGAATCGAACCCGGGACCTTTCAGTCCACAGGCTAATGCTCTATCCACTGAGCCAAACCGGTTTTGGCTTGTTTCTTTCTTTTTTTATTTATTTATTCTTATTGATTTCAGACAGGAAGGGAGATGGAGAGATAGAAACATCAATGATGAGAGAGAATCATTGATCAATTGACTTCTGCATGCCCCCATCTGGGGATTGAGACCACAACCTGGGCATGTGCCCTTGACTGGAATCAAACCCAGGATCCTTCATTCCACGGGCCAATGCTCTATCCACTGAGAAAACCATCTAAGGTATAGAAAAGCCTATTTCTTTAATACCACCTTCCCTCATGTTTCCAGTCTAAAAAGAGAAAAAACTCTAGAAATACCAAGTTCACAGTCTAATTCTCAGCTCCAGTTCAATAATTAAATGTGATTACTGCAGCATAGTCACTCAGCAGATGTCAAGTTCCAACTTCACGCATTTAAAAATAAATAAAGGATATTCAGAAATCAGGGGCAAATTTTGAAATAATCTAAAGCCTCCTCCCTTTCTCTATTTTCTAAAAATCCTCTAATAAACATGTATCACTTATGCTATAAGAAAAATACAAAGTAAGACAAAGAAAGAGAGAGGAAAAGTGCAGGAGAAAAGACAGAAAAAAAGAATCTTGTTTTCTCCCAATTGTACATTTAGGCCATTCTAATCATTGCCTCTCAGAGATAAAGACTTTTAAGCTAATGACCACTCTGCTTCCATGAAGCCAACTGTATTTTCTTACACCATTGTACAGATTTTTATTCACAATCACAGCCATTTGCTCTGTCAGAGCAGAAAGAATAATATGGAAGAAGAGGCAGGAAAGACTTCCTACTAGAAAATATTTTTTTTTCCTTATATCCAAAAGGACAGAGAAATCATGTAAAGGAAATAAATTCAGTAAAATATATTTCCTTTATTTGAATAAATAAAAGCTTAATCTCTAAATATTTTTAATATATCCTTCTATTTTATATTAGTCTAAATAAATGAGGTTCAAGTATTAAAGGCATTCAATTCTATTCAGAGACATAGCAGAGCTGTAGCAACTGTCAATCAGGTACACACCATGAAACAAAAATATCATTACCAGAGCCAGTGTTGATATAATAAAGACTTATTGCTGAACATTGGGGGGTAGGGTTGATGGAGGAGAATATCCATGAATATCAGTATGGGGAAAAAAGTTAATATTTGCCCATGATACATGGCATCAAACTATTTAAATCTCAAGACAGAAATATTCCACTCAATCATACCTTTTTCAGCTCTTCTTTAGCGAACTTTTCATAAGGGTTATGTTCCAGATAGGCAACATGCTCTGAATTATTGGTAGCAAATCCTACAGGTTTTCCTTTTTTATTTCCAGATGGTTCATAAGGGTGATGTAGAAGGTCATAATGAAGCATTGTGATCATTTCTTTTTTGATTAGTTCTTCACTTTTCTGTAAATCTGTTAATGGTGGTTCTACATTTAAGGGCCTTAGAATAGTTTCATTTACCTAAAATTGTAAAACAAGTAAAATTACCAACAGATTCACTGCAATATACTAACATTATTACTTGTTCTAGCATAAATTAAACAGCAGTTATACATTTTTCAAAAGAAATCCTTTTTTCCTTCCTTTTAAATACTCATTTGTTCAGGGCCTAGTTCTGAGAAATTGTGTACCAAATTCTAGGCAGTAGATAAAATTTTGTTTTGTAAAACTTTATGAATTATAAAAAGAAATCAATCACATGGAAAAAAAAAACAAAAAAACTTAAAACTTCCCCAACCAAAAATTCTAACACTTACTTCTGAAGGTCTTGGAAGATCTTTCTGGACAGCTTTATGCATTCGCTTCATTTCCTTTACACGTTCTGCATCTCGTATGGCCTAAAAAGTTATTTTATATCCATTATTGGCATTACAAAGTATTTAACAAATTTTAATACAGTTGAAAACACTTCAGTCTATAAGAACATGTATGTCCAAGAGCTGGAACTCTAGACATCTGTAAGTTTGCAGGAAGGCCATATAAGGCAATAGAAATTAATCTCATCTGTTCTCTCAGTAAAACAGCAATTAAGAACTTCCAACATCTACCAGAGTATGCTCCAAATTTAGATGCTATATCCATCAGATAATTATCCTTTTCTTCTGTAAATCAGAATCTGAAATTTTAGTTGACTATTCCTCCTGCAACACAACCCTTTTCATGCACCCAAAACTACCTTTGTTTAATTTAAAAATCCAGCAAAAGAATTTCTTGTTTCCTGATTCTCAAATTATGAAGAATGTGGAGATAGCACATTAGAATTTCTCACTATTTCTGGCTAAATGTATCTCCAAGTCACTATAAGAACTAAACACAAAAAGTATTACCCTATATTCCCACCAAAAAGCGTATTTATGTGGTTTCCTCTAAAATACAATTTCCAATGATGCCATTTTCACTCTAATCCCATGAAATTATTCAACTTCAAAACCATCCTGAACTAGGCTGTAAGAATTTCTTAAAGGGTCACTCAATCTCAGTTTTAGTTCAAGAGTCACCAGCCATGAGACTTGCTAAGATTAACTTAATTCACCTGCGCCTGTTTGCTCACTTCTAAAATGAAGCTAATATAGATACCTATTTTATTTAAATCACCAAGTTATTATGTGTGAATGAGAAAGTAACTGTAAGATATGTTAATACAAAGCGTTGCTATTATTATTCTGGCACACTCTCTAAATTTCCAAATCCACGTTTTTTATTAGTTTACACTGATCTAAAACCATTTACTCAACCAATCCAAAATGTACTTGTTTTTAAGACTGATCAGTAACTCTTGGCTAGAGTAAAAAGCAATGTCTAAAAGACTACTTATGTGTATTTTAAGAAAGCATAATGAATTTGACAAAGGATACTTAAATTGATTTTATTCACACACACACACACACACACACACACACACACACACACTTTAAGAATGCCTTTCAAGATAGAATATTCTGAGTATATTATTAATTACTAGAAGCCTGGTGCACAAAATTCGTGCACTCAGGTGTGTGTGTGGGGGGGGGGGGGGGACCCTCAGCCTGGACTGTGCCCTCTTGCAGTCCAGGAAACCTCAGGAGATGTCCGCCTGACTCTTATGCCTGCTCGCGGTGGGGAAGGGCCGAAGCCAGCAGTCATACATCTTAGCGCTTCCACAGGGGCAGGAGAGGCTCCCACAACCGCTGTTGTGCTTCACCAGCCGTGAGCCAGGCTTTTGGCTGAGCGGCATTTCCCCTGTGAGAGTGCACTGACCACCAAGGGGCAGCTCCTGCATTGAGCGTCTGCCGCCTGGTGGTCGGTATGCATCACAACAACGGGTCATTTCACCATCTGTTTGATTTGCACATTAGCCTTTTATTATACAGGATGTGAGTATATATTATTTCTGATCTAAGTAGTTTACGTTAGGGTTTTTTAAATATTGAAAAAATTCATAGGTAGAGATCTTGAGATATTTAATGGCCATTCTTCATTCTTTCAGCCCACTGACACATTCAGCAAACTCACGCTTTCTTCCTTTCCAGCACAGTTACCCACCTGCTTTCGTGCATCCACGTCAGCAGCATCTTCAATGTATGTATCATCTATTTCACGGTCTTCCAGCTCCTTCTCAGCATTTTCTGGTAGAACAATTTCAAAGTCATTCTTAGGTGCAGGAAGACCCATCAACCCTAAACGGAGGTGTTCACGAGACTCTCTTTCCTGTAGAAAAAAGTCAATCTTTCTCAATTCATATACATTAACCAACCAATATATTATGAATTCCTAAAATATAAGTAGCTTAATTTTAATTCTAAATAATGATTCTAACTTCAGATTTGAGACAAGTTTTTAAATTTCTATCTCCGTTTCTTCCGTACATTAAGACAAATCAATTTGGAATCAGTGGGAGTTACTCTGGCATATTCTAATAGAAGGTTTGGGAAGTACCTCTGCAGGGGCAAAAAGAAAAAAAAAAAAAAAAAAAAAAAAAAGTCCTTCAGGGTTTCCAGTTAAGGAAAACATTGCTGACACAAATTTAGTAACAATCAAAAGAACAAGTTCAAAAGTCAATTTATCCTCAGACTAGTAAAAATCTAATCTGAAAAGATGCCTGATTTGTGTGTGCATATATTTTTAATAGAAAGACTAGATCATATGCAAGCCAAAAAACAGCCCAATGGGCCCAAAGTTTTCCCCAGTATATCCTCAGTTCACTTTCCAATCTCACTCCCCACTGCTCCATTACACGTTTGCTATGTGTAAACACCAGATGAGTTGCTAAAAACACTCTCCACACTTACTCACGTTGTGGCCTCCATCTGGAACAGCCACCACCTTCCTTCTGAGCACATCTTGTCAATGAAGGCTTTACTAGTTCTCACCCAACAACTATTAATCCTTTCCATGGCCACCCTAAGCAGGTCGGTTTTACTCAAAGAGCTTACTTTGTTCTTATATTACAATTATTTTTTAACTTGCTTTAGTACTGCCAATCTCTCCAGAGTATAAACTTCTTTAAGACAAAGGACATCTTTACTCAACTTTAGATCCCCAGATCTGTGCTTTGCACACATTACCTATATTCTTCATTTAATTCTTACGTCGCCAATCAGAGTTGGCATTAGTTGATATCAATTTTCACCACTTAAAAAAACTCTAACCAAATCTATATATGAAGTTAGAATTTGTAAAATGAAAACAGGCCAACATCATTATAACTTATTATAAAAATAAATATCTCACAATGATTTTCTATGGCATCATAATAAAGCCTAACAGTGATGTAATAAAAGCATTATCATGGCTGAGCAAAACTGCAACCTTTATTATTTATTTATTTATTTGTTTATTTATTTTTTTAATCCTCACCCAAAGATATTTTCCCATTGATTTTTAGGGAGAGTAGAAAAGAGAGAGAAAGAGAGAAACATCGATATGAGGGAAACACACCAATTGGTTGCCTCCTATATATGCCCTGACAAGGGCCCAGGTCTGGGAGGAGCCTGCAACAAAGGTACATGACCTTGACCAGAATCGAACCCAGGACTCTTTGGTCCACAGGCTAACACTCGATCCACTAAGCCATGCCAGCTAGGGTCAACCTTCATTTTTATCATTACCTTTCTACATCACTAAGCAAAACATATGAAAGAAACCTTTACTAAGATCAGCAATAAACATCAAATTTTGAGATCTAGATTTGTCCTTGAAGTAGAGAGCTAACAGGAATCAAGGGTCAAAATGTGATTCGAAGTGTTCAAAACTAACAATTTATTTAACAGAAATAAAAATTTTAAAAAATACATAAATGTATCGCCCAGCTGGCGTGGCTCAGTTGTTGAGCATTGAACTATGAACCAGGAGGTCACAGTTTGATTCCTGTTCAGGGCATATGCCTAGGTTGTGGGCATGATCCCCAGTATGGGGCATGCAGGAGGCAGCTGATCAATGATTCTCTCTCATCATTGATGTTTCTATCTCTCTCTCCCTCTCCTTTCCTCTCTAAAATCAATTTTAAAATATTTTTTAATAATAAAAAAATATATAAAAATAAATGTACCATTCAAGTATTCAAGTAAATGATAAAAATTAAAATCATAAAAGATACAAGTATTATTACAGACATAATCAAAACTCACAAACATGTTAAGAGTAAGAAAAAACAGACATGAGATTAAGTACTGCAAATCATTTTCCTCTGCTGACATCCATAGGTGTGTAGATTCTTACGATATGAGTAATATGCACTGACTGGGGAGGGAGGGAATTTTAATTTGGCAGCCATAGATACCAAAAAAAAATTTTTTAAGGCTATTAAACAGAAATGACATGTACCATCTGCTTCACATAAGAGGGATCATTGTAGTCTGCCATTCCGTCCTCAGGATTGATGTTTAACTTGTCTCGAAGAGGAGTTCTGCCGGGGGTGGAGTTAACAACTGGCTTGGGAGTTGTCCCACTCCGGGGGGTCAGCCCTTCTGACCCATGAGAGGGAGTCCTAGAAAGACAAAAATTCTAATTAATAAAAGTACCACTTTGATTTGTCCTGTGTTTTCAAATGCTTTTCACAAGTTACTTTACAAGGAAAACAATAAAGATTCCAAAAATCCTGTCACTCTATCTGGTTTTAGGTTAGATCTTTAGATTAAAATAAAGGATTGGCTCAACTAGCTTATTATTATTTACCCACAGTATTATTTTAATGACTTGAAATAAAGTCATTATATTTGACATTACTTGCCTTCCTAAGATAGGTCCTCCAAATATTATCTCAACTTTTTCTTGATATGGTACAGTAGCTAAGAACATACAGGGGACAGAGAAGAGTCACCACAGTCAAAGACCCCAGACTCTGTTTTAATTCAAGGCCTTTGTATCATTCCTATGCCTGTGTCTATTAGCCACCTCATCATCATCAGTGTGCATACTGTAAGTAGTTCCTCTCTTTACATTTCTTTTTCTTTTGAAATCATATATAAATCCGAGTGAGAGCTAAGAGAATCTCTTAGGAATAAAATCCTAATAGACTTTGCAACTTAAATTTTAATTGTCCAAGCTTTTTTGTTTTGTTTGCTTACTTCCTGGATCTTGGGTGTGTTCCAGACAAGTGAATGCTGCCAGAGAGCTGCTCCCAGAGGTGAGGTGAGGTGAGGTGAGGTGAGGTGAGGTGAGGTGAGGTGAGGTGCTATCATATCAGACATGGTCCCTACCCACAAGGAGCTTACAAAGTGTTTGAGAGACAAGACACACAGGAAAAAAGAGGAATCAGGCTCTCTTACAAGCCTTGCAAGAGTTATTAAATGAGGATCTGGCTACCAATGTTTCTTCATTGTGCCATCATGTAGGGCTGTAATAGTCAGATGCTTTCCATCTAAACAACCAATGGGAGGATATATCCTAAGGTGACCAGACGTCCCGCTTTTGGCAGGACAGTCCCGATTTTTAACAATTTGTCCCGCGTCCTGCAGCGTTTTGAAAAAGCGGGACGTCTGGTCACCTTAATATATCCTAATGTTTAGATTAAAAGTAAACCCCAAATATTTCCAACCTTTAAAAGCTCAAATTCCATTTTAATACAACTTGTTTCTATAACGTTTATATTTTTTAAATTCTTCTTTAAAACACAGTAGCTTAAAACAAAAGAACTGCAAACAAATACTGGACTCTAAACTCATTAATGATATACACAAGGAAATGTTTAGTGGTGAAATAAACTGATACAGTAAAGTTATCCTGAAATGCATTAAAATAAGATGAATTGATAGGTGATGGATGAATATGTGAGAAAATAAATACAGTAAAATGTTAACAACTATAGAAATCTAGATGGTAAGTGTAGGGATGTTTGCTTTACCATTATTTCAACTTCTCTGCATATTATAAGTTTCCATAATGAAATGTTTCGTGAAAAGCAATAGAGGTACAGACATTTAAAAAAATGATTTTTATCAAATTCACCAAATGATCAATAATAGATTTATTTGCTCTTTTAAATCAGATAAAACGTATCTGGAAACAAGGTGTTAGCATCAGAAACTGCAGAAAGGAAGCTCCATATAGTATTTAACCATTTCGGGAACTGAGAAAAAGTCAAGATGACAAGCTGATCACTATTTCCATATTCTGTTAACATTACTAAAGAAAACATGTTGTCCAAGTTCTCAGATTCAAGTTTATCTAAAACAGAAAACATCTGCTTATTTATAACTAGTGCCCCAGTGCATGGATTCATGCACATTGAAAAGAAATTAATTAGAAGATGGGGTGCCTGGGCGAGAGGGGCAGAATATGCCCTGTAGGGAACCTCCCGCAGTCCATCCCCGGCCAGCCACACCTGGGGCGGCGCCACAGGTTGAAGGGCGTCTGTGAAGTGAGCAGGGTCCCTCCGGCAGGTGGGGTCCCTCAGCCTGACCTGCAGGGATCAGGCCGAAACTGGCTCTCCGACATCCCCCAAGGGATACCAGATTGTGGGAAGCCAGTTCTTAGGTAACACACCCTGGAATCGGGCTCTCTCCTCTCTGGTTCCAGGGTGCGTCACCTGAGAACCACCACTGCCAAGTCACCACAGCTCAGCAGCTCCTGCGTGTGTCTGCCCCCTGGTGGTCAGAGAGTGTCTTAGCTACCAGTAGGACAGTCGCTTAGCCTTTTTTATAAATATATATATAGACATATATAGATATATATATAGATGTATAGATATATAGATATATAGATATATATAGATATATATAAATAGATACCTGAATGGGGTTGAAAGAACTGTGTTTGGAGTCTGTACAACCTGCCGCTGAGGAGTCACGCCTGAGAAGTCACTCTCGTGCAAAGGTGTGTTAAGTCCACCTTTTAATGGGGTGTCCACATTGGTCAGGGCCATGAGGTTCTGGGCTTCCTGATTAATGAAAAAATAAAGTATTTCAACAGTTTAGTCAGAAGACAGAATGTCTTCTGGTATTACTATACAAATCTTAAAACAAGTAAAATTCTTAGACATTTTATTAATGAAAACCAAGAGATAAAATGACTACTAGGCCATGGCAGATTCAGTACTTCCATTCCTGTGTCAACATAACATAGCACCTCAGAAGTTTAAGATTAAATTCTTATATGTTAAGAAATGCTTTTGTGGCCTCGGATATGGCATAACCATTTATCTAAAAGCTTCTCCTATTACCTGTGCCAAACCTCTTTATAATCATAAAGAACTAAGAATTCAAATTTTCCAATGTGAGTTTGGGCTAAATATCTGAACAACTAAACTTTAATCCAGTTTTATCACTAATTGTAGTATATCTAGTTTCCATTAGCCTCTCTAAATCTGATTCTCCCATTAGAAAGTTGACACTATCAGCTGGCCTATCACTTCATAAGAAAACTCATGTGGGCAGGTTCATTTCTGAAGTTTTACTTGACTCAGTCCCTTCACTATAATCCTATATTCATTATTATCACTGTACCTACAAGTCTCTTAATACCCAATTTAGGATCTGTAAGATTGTTATTTTCCAAGATAGTAGTACAATCATTATCTCTCATCTCACATGCTTTTCTTGACACTCCATTCATCATAAGATAAAGTCTATATCCCTCCTCTTGAATCTAGGTGGACTCACTGATAACTAACAGGCAAGGAGAAAACAAAATGTAGCTTCACACACACTCACTACAACTCACACTGGAGCACTGAGAGACCATGGGAGAAGTTCAACTTCTGATGCCACCAAGCTGTGAGAAAGGCGAGGCCACGTATAAATTTACTCTATGTTCCCAGCACAGACAGCAGCAAACACCAAATATGGAAAGATGATTCCAGGCTCCCCATCTATCAAGTCACCCTCAACTGTTGAGTCATCCTAGCTGAGGCCCTAGACTAGGGGTGTCGAACTCAATCAGAGAAGGGGCCAAAATCTAAAATCCAGCCTAAATCGCGGGCCGAATGGTTTACTGAACAGTCATAAACTGTCATTGTGATGGAAACGCAGCGGAGTGCAGTGATGACAACACGGTGCGGGCCACATTGCAAGGCCTGGCGGGACGGATTTGGCCCGCGGGCCTTGTGTTTGACACATGTGCCCTAGACACATGGAGCTGACACAAGCTGTTCCTTCTATGCCCTATCTGAATCCCTGACCCACAGAAACCATGAGTACAATACAACTTTTAAACCACCAGGTTCTGGGACAAAATGAAGAGAACTGTAACAAGGCTTACTTCGTTATTCACTACCAATAAAAAGAACCTTACATTTCACATTACCAATTGTGTGTGCTCTTTCTGCTATTCCAAGTACATAGCATTTTTTCCCCATCTAGGTTCCCAAAAGGCTGGCCAGCTTGATGCCCTCCAGGCAGGAGAATGGAAGCTACTTACTTCTCTGGTAAAAAGATCTAGAAATACTGACATCAAGAGTTCCCCAGGGAAACTCCCCAGCAGGTTCAGCCTATAAGGAAGCCTAGAGTCAAGGAGCCCCACCAAACCTAAGGAACTTAGTTTTAATTGCCCCACTCTTACCCCCTAGATATAGGAGAGCCAAAGATCAAAAGATATTTAAGGAAACATCTCATATGAAAGAGAGAGAAAATGACTACTAGGCCAAAGTAGTAAACAAGTATCTTAGCAATAAGTTAGTAAATCAGAGAATTGTAATTGGTGCCTCTAGAGAACAAACAAGTGATGAAGGACACAACTGTTTTCTTACTAAGCCATACAGGACTACTTGACTCCTGAATCAAGACCTTAAAATGACATTTCTATTAGAGAAAAGGAAATGAGATGTAAGGGTCAAGATGCAATGGTGTTTGGTTAGTTTGGCTATTCTCTGACATGCAGACACCCTAAGAACACACAGAGCTGTGTACCTAAGGTGTTTAAGGAGAGGAAGAAGGATGGCAGCCTATGGCAAGCTAAGTACAGAAATGCAGAGGTTTTAAAAATTACTTATCACACACATCTGACTTCTTTCTAGGATTGCTAAGTAACATGCACTTTTAAAATGCTGTGCTTTGCTGACAGGTACTAAAGACTAATGAAGATAGAAGGGCCAGCTTCACAAAAACCCCAATAGCTAAGACTTAATAAATGTAGGAAGAAAACTGCCTAACCACTCAATCTGCTGAGTTAGCTTCCCCACTACAGAAATCCCTAGGATCCATGCATTCAGGATTCAGTTTCAAACTCAGTGTTCTGCTTCATAATCCTTACAATAACTAAAAGTGAAAGGCTCTTTCTACTACATGACACCGTACCTGCAGAATTCTGTCCTGAGAAGCTGGCGTTCGTGGTGTTCTAAGAGCAATGCTGTTGTTGGTGACATTGTACTCAGACAAGAGAGTACTGGAAGCCGAGTTTGTTATGCCAGATTCCTCAGCTGTTTGACGTGCAATCTCACTTGCTTGGCCTACTTTCACAACTTCCTGGAGTTCTGCATCTGAAATCTAAAAAGAAAGTTATCACAACAAACAGTATTCTAACCAGAAAACAACTCAACTTAAAATTTCCATATTCCAGAAAGATAAACTGCTGAAGCTGTGTGATGAGTACACAGGGTACACTGTACCACTCTCTTTACACTTGTGGATTTGAAAATTTCCATAACACAGCTTTTCTAAAGTCTTTCCTATATAATGTGAGTGTCAGGGGTAAGGGGAGAAATTCCATAGTATCAAGCTACAAAGTCTTGAGTGTATTTCCACACTAAAAATCTTTTAAAATAAGCAACATATTAATATACCAAAAACTTGTGTTTGTACAATACTATCATATGGGGGGAGGAGGGGGTGACTGAAAAACAATTAAAATATCACAGAGAATCCACTCATCCACAAGAGAGGAAGAGAGAGAGTGAAATATCAATATGAGAGTTGCCTCCCGTACACTCCCTCAAACGAGGATCGAACCAGCAACCTATCGATAGTTATGTGCCCTAACCGGGAATCGAACTGACAACATTTTGGTGTACAAAATGAGGCTCCAATCAACTGAGCCACCCGGCCAGGGCTAAGCCATGAATTTCTTAAGAACATCTAGCACCTAACAAAAACTTGGTACATAAGGCCTCAAATATTTGCTGAATAAATGATCAGTGTATGAGTTCACACAATGAAAAATATGCTTTTATCAGATTACCTGAGGGGCAGGAAGTACTAATTTGCTTCTCTTTTTAGTAAATTCAGAAACACCACTTGTTTGAAGAATAGCTGATGGTAAATCAGATTCTTTTTTCCTTTTCAAATGCTGCTTATCTTTTTTTCTATCTCTTCCTTCTTTTTCACTGTCAAGGATCAAGATAGAGAAGAGATTTTTAAATTACATAAAGGCAATAACATTGAAAGCCATATAAATACTCATACATTTTGAACAAAATAATCCCATTTCTAAGAAAATTACTAATTAACAAACAAAAACTATATATATTAAGTTGGCTCATACACCATCATCTATCCACTAATTCAAGAAAAATGACTTAGAATAATGATAGAATTATTCAGAAAACAGAATATATTAAGTAATTTAACTATTAACTATTAAAACTATCTATAATAATAAAAGCGTAATATGTGAATTAGACCGGATGACCTTCCAGACTAAGCCGTGGCTGTGAGGGCTGAGGCAGAGGCAGAGGAGGAGGCAGAGGCAACTGCTGTGGCTTGTGGGGCCAAGGCAGCAGGCGTGACTGTGAGGACCAAGTCCCTTGCACGAATTACGTGCATAGGCCTCTAGTATACTATAAAGACTATAAGCTAAACGTTACATATAATATCAAAATAACATAAACTATATCATATTATACTTACATAAAAATGTTTACATAGAAAAATAAAGTATACAGAAAGAAAAACAATTATATAAAGGGAATAAAATTAAAATATTGTGAATTTTATAATTTCCCTTTAAACTTTATTCAATTGTTTATGACTTTTTAAACTCACAAAACTTTTAAAACAAATATTTAAGTCAGGACAAATTACACCAAAAAGTTATTAGGAAACTGAAAGACAGGCTAAGACGGACTTTTAAAGCCCAGGAATGCCTCCTCCCCTTCTGCGTGCTATCCTCTTCCCCCATGTAGTCTACTCCTTCCAGATGTTTTCATCTTTAAGCTCTTTATTTGTTGAAATTACTTAATTTAAGAAATAAATATAATGGAGTACATCCAAGAATACCCTGTTTTACAGTGGCTAATGTCAGTTGTTTAGTAATAATTCATGCAATAGAAATAATATGTCAATCAGGAAATGAAAAACTAAAAATCTTTGACAATCATAAATAATCCTCCCCACAATTTTCAGATATAAGAATTAAAGAAACTCTAAAAATCCCTTGAAATAGGCAAAATCCTCTGCACCCTCCACCATTTTGTAAATATACCTACTTATCCCCACTAAGTACAAATTTGTAGAATGCAAGGCAAAATAAATAAACCAAATATTGACAGATTCCTTCAGGCTATTATTAAAACAACTAAGCTATTTATAAATATACATAAATCTTGAATTAAAATTTTGACTTGGTGAGTAGACAGTTCACTAAGAGCAATGCTGACTGACATTTTAAGAACTCCAAAGAGCATTCTATGCCAAACACAGGACTGATTTTTCTCAGAAAGGTGAGCCCGTTAAATAAATAAAAGCATATGTCAGCTACATTGTGCTAATAAAAATCTGACACTGACAAGGATAATACCTGGCCCTCCATAAAATTCCTACTGTAGGCCGAAGCCGGTTTGGCTCAGTGGTAGAACATCAGTCTGCGGACTGAGAGGTCCCAGGTTTGATTCCGGTCAGGGGCATGTACATTGGTTGCAGGCACATCCCCGGAAGGGGGTGTGCAGGAGGCAGCTGGTTGATGTTTCTCTCTCATCGACATTTCTAGCTCTCTATCTCTCTCCCTTCCTCTCTGTAAAAAATCAATAAAATATATTTTTTTTAAAAATTCCTACTGTATCTTCCCATTTTTAAAATCAGAAAGGCACTTACGATCTTAGCTCGCCATCAAGATCCTGTTGTCTTAACTTCCTGAAATCTGCATCAAGAGCCTGGTAGTTTTCCTCTGAAGTATCATAGAAACCAAGAGCAGGCTTTTTTTCAAATGGGATTTCAGCATTATAATCAACTCCTCTCTTCTTTTTTCTCTTCTTCTGGATTTCTATGCCAGCTGCTCGAAGTTCTCTTCTCTTTTGGAGGGCAGCAAGACGTCTGAAGAAAAAGAACACAAGACCACCTTAAAAATCATATGTCATAGGTAAGGGATAGATTATCCAAAAGTTTTAAGAAAACTAATTGGTTATTTGAGAAAGAAAGAAAATCCTCACCGCATACCATTCACCAAAGTAAAGTTCAGTTTCAATTTAAAGTATACACATACAAAAGCAAAAATAAAAACCAGAAGAAACTATGTGTAAATAAATATGTATCTTATCCCTGGATGGGAATGTACTCACCAAATATAAATAAAAGACAAAGGAAAAGAACGAAGGCTTTAAAATTTAATATCTCTGTAGTACTATTTTTAAAAAACCATAAAGCAAAATTAAAAAGCAAATAATAGAGAAAATATTTGTAATTATTAGGAATGGTTAGATATAACTTATGCAACCCAACTAAAATAAATAGGAAACAAACAGTTCACTAAGGAAAAAAAATACAAATTGCTGTAATGACAAAAGGTCTACTTAACTGATACTTTTAAAGTCACAAATTAAATTAACAAATACCATTTCTGTATTTCTAATTACTAGCATTCAGCTTTTTGTCTTGTTTTAATAGCAATGGTGCTAAAAAGCAGAGACTCTCCCACACTGGCAGTAAAGAAAGTAAATTGGTATAGCTTTCCCCAGATATATATACTAAAACACTAATGTTTTTCACATTTTTTTTAACCCAACCTTAGCCTAAGGAAATAAATAAGAGCATGAACAAGGACTTAGCTATAAAACTGTCCTTCAAGCACTATTTGTAATGGCAGATAACCAGCATAATGTAAACATCCAACAATAAGAAACTAGCTAAATCCCTAAGCTGGAATGAAAACTTCACCAGAAGGGTTCAACAGTAGATTCAAACTGACAAAAGAATTAGCAAACTCGCGGGGGCAATTTGGCTCAGTGGATAGAGTGTCAGCCTTTAGACTGAAAGGTCCCAGGTTCCATTCCAGTCAGGGGCACATGCCCGGGTTGCGGGCTCGATTCCCAGTAGGGGGCATGCAGGAGGCAGCCGATGAATGATTCTCTCTCATCATTGATGTTTCTCTCTCTCCTCCTCCCTTTCTCTCTGAAATCAATAAAAATAAATTAAACAAAAAAGAATTAGCAAACTTAAAAATTATGCAATCTGAAGAACAAAGAAAAAAAAAATGAAGAAATATGAACAGAGCTTCACAGAAATGTGGAGCACCATTAAGTGCACCAACATATACACAAAAGTAGTAACAAAAGAAGAGAAGACAAAAGGGAGAAAAATACTTCAAGAAGTAATGAAAAAAAATTTCCCAATTTTACTGTAAACCATTAATCTACACATTCATAAAGTTCAAGACTCTAAGATAAACATAACAAAGAAATCCACAAACATACTTAAAACATGCTAAAAGCCAAAGACAAAGAGAAAATCTTCAAAGCAGCAAGAGAGAGAAATTACTCAGCACTTACAAGTGAAACCTTAATAAAATTAACAGCTGACTTCTCATCAAAACTATATAGGCCCTCAGCAGTTGGTGGGGTGTCGACAGTGCATGGGAAAGGTTGCCGGCTAAATCCCTAGTAGGGGGATTGCAAGAGACAGCCGATCAGATGTTTCTCCCAATCCCTCTCCCTTCCTCTCTAAGAATTAATTAAAAAAAAACAAAACTATATAATCTTATATAAATGTTGTTTTGGGTATATATATACATGTATATTAAAAAAGGTTTTAGTCATTCACATATGTAACCTATATGTTCATGTAGACTAATGGCACCCCAATAACATCCTATATTTAAAAAAAAAAAAAAAAAAAGGTTTCAAAGGACACATTTCAAAAATTAAAATAACTTCATTCTGTAAATCAGGGGTGGGTAACCTTTTTTCTTCTGTCAAGAGCCATTTGGACATTTATAACATCATTCATGGTCCATACAAAATTATTTTAACATTAGCCTGCTATATTCGGTCAAACATTCAATTAACTCAGCCCTAGTAGGGGCAGACCAAATGATTTTGCGGGTCTTATATGGCCCGCAGACCAGGCAGTCCCCTTCCCCTGCCTTAAATAAAGGAATAAAGACTTCAAAGGACATTAGAAAACCTCTGCAATATAATGTCAAGTGAATATAGCCAAGCTCTACAATATTATATCAACCATGCCCCCAAAACAAAAAATAATACTGAAGGAAAAATGTGTTATTTTTGTAATCAATAAAAAGCTTTAAGTTATGTCGAAACCGGTTTGGCTCAGTGGATAGAGAGTCAGCCTGTGGACTGAAAGGTCCCAGGTTCTATTCCAGTCAAGGGCATGTACTTGGTTGCGGGCACATCCCCAGTAGGGGGCGGGCAAGAGGCAGCTGATCAATGACTCTCTCTCATCGATGTTTCTAACTCTCTCTCTCCCTTCCTCTCTGTAAAAAAATCAATAAAAAATATTTTTTTAAAATAAAGTAAAAAAAGCTTTAAGTTATAAAACAGATGAGTAACTTAGCACTTAACTAGCCCTGCACTGCATTTTGCATACAGACCTGGTCTAGTCCAGCGATTCTCAGCCAGTGTGCGGCAAGAATTTTTAGAATATGCATTACCTGACTACTTAGCCAGGGGCACTGACCTCTTTTCCCTTAGATTGTCAAATTTAAAAATGACATCAGCCGAAACTGGTTTGGCTCAGTGGTAGAGCGTTGGTCTGCGGACTGAAAGGTCCCAGGTTCGATTCCAGTCAGGGGCAGGTACATATGTTGCGGGCATATCCCCAGTAGGGGGTGTGCAAGAGGCAGCTGGTCGATGTTTCTCTCTCATCGGCGTTTCTAGCTCTCTATCTCTCTCCCTCTCTATAAAAAATCAATAAAAGTATATTTAGAAAGCCCCTCTCCCCATAAAAAAAATAAATAAAAAAAATGACATCAGCCAACACAGTAACGGCCATCTGGCGTGAATGAATCAAAATTATACCTATTTTTTTTTTGGTCAGGTTGACAAAAAAATTTATTTTTTGGTATGTCACAAAATTTTAATAGTTTATGTGTGCCATGAGATGAAAAACGTTAAAAATCTCTGCTATACTAGTACATGCAAAATAAATTATAAAGATGTGTAGACCGTCTAAAAAATCTACAAGAAGGTGTAGGGCCAATTTAAAGCTGAAAATTTTTATATTTTTATTGATTTCAGAGAAGGGAGAGGGAAAGAGAGATACAATCATCAATGATGAGAGAAAATCATAAATCGGCTACCTCCTGCACGTTTCACAATGGGGATCAACCCCACAACCCAGCATGTGCCCTGACCAGGAATCAAACGGTGACCTCCTAGTTCATAGGTCAAAGCTCAACCATCGAGCCATGCCGGCTGAGCTAAAGCTGAAAATTTTTAATTAAAGCAAGCAATGTCAGCCATACTTGGAGATTTTTTATATATGCACTTGCCACATCCTGGGCCCAATCCCCATGACTAGAAGGCTCAAAAAAATTTGTTTCCCAACCAACCATGGACAAAAATGGAAAAGTGATTTTTTTCAACCTTACTCAAATTATTTAACCCCAACAAATGTACAGAAAAGTGGCTGAGACTGGACAGAAATTTTAGTACCTCCCCTTAGTTTTTGCTCAGTCTCAGCCCAGTCATTCTCCCATCATAAGTAACTATTCTGGGCTAGTGACTGGCCAAATATGCCAACAAGCATCCTCAAGCATGAAATAATCCTCCATCCCAGGATCTGGCACTACAAAGCCATTATTGGGGAAACCATCGGCACAATGCTAGCCAGTAGGTAAGGAAGCACGTCCTGGTTTGGGGACCATAAAAGGCAGCTGTGTAGGCTAGGGAAGTTATTACAATGCCTAAACTCCAAAGCTAATAAGCATTATACAGTTCAGGTCTTCCCTTTATCCACTTCTGGGCTATTAGGAATGATGTCAATCATGGCTCTAATCAAAAGGAAAAAGGAAGGGGAACGTGGAGAAAACCTGAATAGAGGATAACACTAAACTCACTTTTTAAATAAAAATTTCTGTGAAAGTCTAAATATGGTTTAAGGATCATTAACTCCCTCTAAGTTCAGTCAAGCTTCCTATTTTGTCAGTGCCTGCCCAAAACAAACCAAGGAAAGTAATTAACAGGCAACCATGCAAAAGTCATATAGCCTGTGTGTCCTCTACCCATCTGACTCCAAGATGGCTACAACAAAGAAGCACTCCTATGCTAACAGAAAAATCCAACATGCTGAATAGGCTACCTGGGCATTACTTCTGCCATATCTTACCAAAAATAAAATTCTAATGTCTTTTTTTCCTATATTCTGAAATGATTAGGGGGAAAAGTAAGATGTTTCCAAAGCAATAAAGAATATTACCAAAACTAGAATTGAACAATTCTAATTATTACTCATCAACAGGGTTGGATAAATCATGCAGTTATATCAGACTAAGGCTGCACAGACTAATTGTTCAACTATGAATGGAAACAACCATACCTTGCTTCTTCCAACTGTTTCTCTCTTGCTTTCCTCTTGGCCTTCTTTCCCTGAGTATTAGCCAGGCGGGCTCTAGCTTCAGAAAGCATCTCAAGTTCATCTACAAAAACAAACAGAAGAAAAACCAAGTTCTTCTCCAATAGAAGCAAGGCATGTGAGAGACATGCTCTAGTGCTTAAGATGAGAAAAAACATCTCCTATAAATAAATACAACAATTCCTGCATAACAGGTATTTTGAGAAGAGCTAAGTAAAATGAAATTAGAAAAAGTATCTAGTAAGTTTTCATTAAAAAGTGGCTATAATTATCATATCCTTATCATCTACCTGGCAAAACAAAAATTGTGAAATATTGCAGAACTACTATTTAATTACAAAGGAACTGATCATCTTCACTAGATACACCTTTTTTCCCCACAGAAGTTATTTCTCTCCTCTTACCAATGTCTTAGGCCAGTTGCTATGCAAGGCTGTCCAATGAAATCAAAAGGGACCTTTGAAAAATCTCAGATTCCAGGGTCACCCCTCCACCCTGAAATTACTGACTCGGTTATCACCAGGGGAGGTTCTAGTAGTACCTATATTTTTAAAAGTTCCCCATGTAACAATAATGCAGCGAGGCCAGCCATTGTCAGCCTTTGGGAACCACTACCCTCAAACAAATTTTAGAAACTCAATATTCCCTGAATGCTTCACAACAATCCTATAAGATAGATATCTCTCTCCATCTGGCAGGAAATAGAATCAAAGCTCAAAGATATTATATGACTTGCCTAATGTCAAACAGCTAATAAATGGCAGAAATAGGTCAAAAATCCAATTCCTCTGATTCTGCATTCAATGTCTCAAGGAGTCAGCCTAAATCTCCATTAGAGTCTCGTGGTAGTGCTTATCCGCAGATTAAATTACCTGCCTAAAATCAAAAAAGTAGTTAATAGGACTGGAGCCCATATCCTGAATTCTTGGCTCTCTCCACAGAATGGGAATAATACAGGATCTCGCCGAAGCCGGTTTGGCTCAGTGGTAGAGTGTCGGCCTTGGACTGAAAGGTCCCAGGTTCGATTCCGGTCAAGAACATGTACATTGGTTGCGGGCACATCCCCGGTAGCGGGTGTGCAAGAGGCAGCTGGTCGATGTTTCTCTCTCATCGACGTTTCTAGCTCTCTATCTCTCTCTCTTTCTCTCTGTAAAAAATCAATAAAATATATTAAAAAAAAAAAAAAAAAAAAAATACAGGATCTCAAGGGCTTACCTCTAGCCTTCAGGCAATCTGTCCAGAAGTATTACATTGGTTAACTTATTAAATGAATTGAAAAATTAGAAGATAAAAAGGGACACTGTCCAAATATAGCAATTACTTTATAATAGAAGACTAGACACATTTAAAATGAGACAGAATAACAACATCAGATTGAACTGGAATTCTAAAAAAGTCAGAGGTGTTTAGGAAGAAATTAAAAGAGTTAAAAAGAAGACTGAGAAGAGTGTAAGTTATCAAAGAAATAAATTCCTCACAAGCATACACTTACCCTCGTCCATATCAATTGGATCAGGCCGTGCTGGTTTTGTTTCTGGATTTGGATCTATTTCTCCAGGTTTAAGTTTCCGTGGATCATCTGTTGTTTCCTCTTCATTGTCTCTTTGGGCCGCTTTATCCCTAGAAGAGAATCCAGATGGGTTAGTCATCCTACCAGACCATTTAGTCTTAGAAATACCGAATTTCCTAGCATCGGAACTCTTCCTTCAAAAACCCAAAGGGACAGCATAGATGGACCTGGAGAGTATTATGCCAAGTGAAATAAGCCAGTCAGAGAAAGACAAGTACCATATGCCTTCACTTACATGTAGAATCTAATGAACAAATTAAACTAACAAAATAAAAACAGACTCACAGAGGACAGACTGGCAGCTGTCAGAAAGGAGAGGATAGAGGGGCTAAGTGAAAACTATGAAGAGATTAAGCAGAAACAAACAAAACAAAAAAACTCATAGCCAGAGAAAAGTATGGTGATTACCAGGGAGAAAGGGGTTGGAGGGAGGAGCAGAGGATAAAGGAAGGGTAAATGGTGATAGAAGGAGACTTGACTTAGGATGGTGAGCATACAAATCAATGTACAGATGATGTGTTGTAGAATTATACCTCTGAAACCTATGTAATTTTGTTAACCAATGTCACCCAATACATTCAATTAAAAAAAAAAAATTACCCCAATGAATAGGCATTAACAAAATAAAGCATTTCTGCTATTGCTTCACCTGAAAGAAATGGTATTAAAATTCCCTCTAATTTCAGTGTTTCCATTCACTATAAAATAGAATCCAAGCAGTCCCTTAATCACAAATGCACTACAGCCATACAAAACACACACACACACTATTGGGGATGAAATAAAATGTTGCAATGGTTAACACTCAGCAGTGATTACGAGTGATTTTTATTTGTTTTACTATTTTTTCCCTAGGTTTTCTACAATGAATATGTATGGTTTGTATATTTTTAAATTATTCCCTTAAAAAGGATGTAACAGAATAACCATTTTGATCAACCACATGAGATTTGGAATATGTAATCCAATAGCTTTGTTCTTTTATCTTTACTCAAATCTGTAACTAAATGTTTAAAGACAGAAAATGTTAAAATTTTATGCATACTCATTCAGAAGATATACACACATTTTAATACTGCCTTTGGAGATCCACTTACAGAAGAAATTCATAATGTTCCAAGCACTGAGCAGCTGTTCTTCCAATGATTGGAGCGATGGTTCTCCACTGAGTGGGCATCAACTTGGCCAAGTGTAAGAGTTTTTCCTCCTCTTCTCTAGACCATTCTGTTTTTTTAATGCTTGGATCGAGCCACTCATACCTATTAAAAATATACAATTTTATACATTAATCAGTCACTTAGCATGAATATACTATTTATATATTAGATATACTGACTTCTAATGTCTAAAAACAGAAGGGAACTCTCATCCTTCAATTATAAAGCTGTGTTTTTACAACAGAATAGTCACGGCTTTAGTTCGGTGTTTTTAAATTTAAGTGAATTATTGTCATTATCTGTCTTTCCTCATGCCCCACCCAACCCACTTTTTCCATCCAGTTTATTTAGTTAGGTGAGAGGCTAGCAAATAAGATAGATATAACCCTTACCAAACATCAGGCAGGGACTTAGCTCCACTAAGAGAAGCAGAAATCAGAACCACTTGTTCAGGTTGAGGACCATCTTCCTCTTTGAGGTCCAATCCTACATTATGAGCCTTTCCCCTGCTCAAGTGCCTAGGAAATTAGGTCCCTGTTGTACAATCCAAAATATGATCCTAGTACCACATAGGTCAAGGCTGGGGCCAGATCATCCGTGCCAAGGACACATGTAAAAAGTTTAATGTGTCCACTACTTTGTGACTTAAAAGGAGATACCACAGGTGTATGATGGGTTTTGCTATACAAAATATCAACTGTATTATGAGTAAACTCAACTATGTGAGCCAGGCTAGAATTAACCATTATTTATCATTCATTTCTTTGGAGAAAAAAGTTCTATCCAACTTTTAAACTTTTGAAGCACAATCCACTTATAAGCTGAAGTCCATCTTTACCTAAAAACAAATTTATTTTATGCTTCACAAAGCACTCTCAAACATATTAACTCACTTTAGCCTCTTATCTCCACCAGTTAAAGTCAAGTATTATTATCCCCAATGGGATAAAACAGGGGCAGAATAGAGAGGATAGAAAAATGTCTTTCCTAAGCTCATAGAAAACAAGTGACAGTTAAGTCTTAAATCTAAATTCCCATGTCGCCCTCGCTGGTTTGACTCGGTGGATAGAGTGTCAGATTGCAGACTGTGGGTCCCAGGTTCAATTCCTGTCAAGGGCACATGTCTGGGTTTCGGGCTCCATCCCTAATAGGCACCTGGCATCATTCTCTCTCATCATTGATGTTTCTCTCTCTCCCTCTCCCTTCCTGAAATCAATAAAAATATAATTTAAAAAATAAATTACCATCTCCCACTTCATCTTTCTGTTATATCACTACACCTTCTTTCTTTGGTAAGGTTCAAAGAACTGACATTTTCCTCAAATAATTAAAGTTGTTTTCTGTTTTCCATTCATTGACTGATACATACCATCTGGCTTTGCATTGCTTTGCTGATTTTCTATGCAGCAGTGAGGCAATCCTAGACCACTGGTTTTTCCCATATTTCATTACCGCTGCTTTAAGAATTTCATCCTAAAAGAAAAACAGTATATTCAATCAAAAAATTCCAAGTGAGAAAAGACAAAATTTAAATGAAGTCTAACAGGGTTTCTGGAAAGAAAAAGAAAGACACACACATACCTCCTAGATCAGTGATTTTCAACTGGTATGCCACAAGAATTTTTAAAACATGCAATATCTGACTATTTAGTCACGGGCCCTGACCTCTTTTTCCCTTGGATTGTTAAGTAAAAAAATGTCAAGAGCCAACATAACAATAGCTCTCTGGGTTGAATGAATCAAAATTATCCTTTTTGTGTACTTGTGTCTATCAAATTGGCAAAAAAATAATATAATTTTTGGTGTGCTTCAGAATTTTCGTAGTTTATATGTACCATGAGATGAAAATTGAAAAATCATTGTCCTAGATTTTTTTAATAAGGTACAAAGTCCTCATTTACTATAATAATAAACAGAAAGCCAGAGTCAGCCAAATGCAAGAAATTAAGAAGACACCTCTTAGAAGGACACTCTACCCTCCTTTACACAGAACCCCACTCCACCCCATAATTGGGATGGATACAGCCCAAACTGAGAAACCTTACTTTGATAGAGACTAACAAAAACATTCTCCAATATGTGGCTGTCATCCTCAAAAGAGTACAGCTCATTCACATTTATTCAGTCAAAAGACGTTTCCTGAACACTTAATCCAACAGGACATGTCCAGCCTAAGTCAAGACTCTAGTAACTCTGTTATCCAATCCAGGCTTCCTGCCTCCAGTTTATGAACAGCATTTTCTCTCCAGTCCCATACCCCCAATCTGACCCTAGAATACACATCCAGGTCTAACTTGAGAATTACTTCTCTCCCACCTCACCAGTTAGCTCTCCCTCCAGCCTCTAGATATTATTTCACCAGGGTACCCATTCTGATATGGAATTCACCAATCTCAAGGGAACCCAGCAAGATAAACCATAAATACCAAAGATAATAAAGGCTGCAGATTAATGCACTTGGGCATTTTGCTTTTAGGTTTTTTCCCACTTGAGCTATACACCTCATACATGAGCTGCTCCATCCCACCACACATTCCCACCATCAGACTTTAAAAGACTTCAGAGCTTCCGCCATAGCAGAGGAATCCTGCTGCTACCTGATTCTGTACGTCTGTCTCTCGCCCAGAATCATCTCTTCTCCAATTTAAACAGCCTGGTTCCCTCCTGCAAGCTGGGAGACAAGATTGTCTAGTGGCTGACTTTACTTGTAACTTTGTTGCAGTACAGCTAATACTTAAACGCACCTTCAACTTAATATATACAGGCATGAGCAAAATAGGTTTACAGTTGTAACACAAATAAATAGTAGAATAATTAATAATAATACAAGAATAAACTGTTCTGTGTACTCACAGCTGTAAACCTACTTTGCCCACCCCTGTTTAGTTTTCTACCCTACTAAGATTCATTCCACATTTTACTAAGCAACCTACTTCATGCTGGTTACTGTCCTAGGTTCTAGGGAGACCAAGATCTGGTCCTCTTGCAATGCTGCCTGCTCGGGGAAAGAAACAGCACCAAGCACTTACTGAAAGAATACTACTTATCATCCTCATTAGAAAAATGAGAAAACTGAGATTCTGAGAGGTTAAAAAACTGAGAAGGATGTGATCCCTGCAAAAAAGTGGTCAAAGCAAGCTGTAACAAATGGATGAAAGTGGATCGATGGGAACTCTGGGGGAAGAACTAATTTTTTTTTACAGGAAAATGGGCAAAAATTCCAAGGAGAGTTTCTGAACTGGATCTTGAAGGATGGTGGGAAAGAGGCCAAGCTGGAGGAGGATATTTAAAGAAAGCACAAGATATATAAACACACAGGTCCTGAAAAGATAGGATGTGCTCCAGAAACGGGCAAATTTAGTTTCTGCACTGACATCTCGCTTCTGTTTTACTCTCCCTCTCCGCTACGGGCTCACCACGGGCATTATCCACTGCATTTCTACAAGCAATGAAACCACTGTAATCAGTTTATCCCATCTGCCTTCTTTCCAGGCTGAGGAAGGACAGGGTGAGGCACGCCTTGGGATCTGCCGGGAGGACTGACAAAAGCTATATACCTCGGTAAAGGTAACAAGAGGAAACCCGGCACTCAAGCCGCTTCCCCTCTGCACGGAAGTCAAAACAGAAACAAAGTTGTGGCCATAGCACTTCTTCATTTTTGAGGATCAAAGAAAGGCACGGTGCCCGGGCTGAGGGGCAGGGGTGCCCCCAGAAGACCAACTCTCGCTGATGTCCCATCTCCCCCTCCAAACTGAGTCCCGTGGAGAGGGGGTGGGGGGTGGGGGCGGTGCATCCTCTACTCCACGAATGTTCACTGGGAGGGCCTAACAAAGTGCCAGGCAGGTAACCGGGGGGTTAACCCACAGTCCCTGTCCCGCAGGCGCTCCGATAACTCGGGATCGGGGGCGGGAAAGGCTCGGAGGGTCCGCCCGGGGCCGCCCCCACGCAGACCCTGCGAGGCATCCGCGCCTCCGCGACCTCCACGCGCGTGCGCACAAGCTGCCAGAGGGGGCGAAGGGCAGCGGGCGGCGGGAAAGGGGGACTTACCTCGGTATTCCTCCACACGCCCCCTTTAATCATAATTCGAGGCATCTTGGCGGCCGGGGGTCTCGGCAAGTGGCCGAGAAGAGCTTCCGAGAATTAGCAACGGCGCTGCGGCCACGAGACTCCACGACTCCACTTTCTCCAGGCGCGACCTTCTGCTATATAGAGATCTGCGCATGCGCGAGGCGGTGGGCGGGGCAGTAAGTAGCAAGTATCGCGAGAACTCGGGTGGCTGAAAGGAAGGTCAGAATCCTGTTAAAGCGGTAGCCCCGGAGGACGACAGAAAGCCTTAAGACCGCTCCGGCCGCGCGCACATCGAACACTGATTAGAGGAAAACAGGGAGGTCGCGAAATGTCAGCCGTGGCTCTCAGCACAGAACGTCGAGGTGGACTGGCCGTGACGTCACCTAGTGGCAGAGAGTGGGAACATCACGCTCGTGGAGTTTCAGCCCAATCGGCTTAAAAGGAGCTTTGTTAATTATCAATGTAGCACTTTCTTAAGCATTTGATTAATAGAAATTTATGCAAAGAATACTCAGGAAAAGGCAGTCGCTCATGTAAACCTAAATATCCTAAAATGTAGAGATAATAGGGTTGTCCTAAGGATTAAATCTTATAAACCAAGCAAAGTATATAATACATAATCCTACCTAATCCTACCTACTAAAAAGTAATATGCAAATTAATCATCACTCCGCTATACCCTCAAGCCAGGCTCACCAGCCACACCCACCAGCCAATCAGAGCGAGTATGCAAATAAACCCAACAAAGACGGCTACAGCCACAGAGAGCAGGAAGGAGGCTTGGATTTCCCAGGCAATGGAGGAAGCCAAGCTTTCCGCCTGCCCTTGACAGCCTAAGCCTCCACTCAAGGCTACAAAGTTTCAAGTATAGAAGGTAAACAAATCCAAACAGAAATGGTAACAGCCACGGAGCTGGAAAGAGCGGGAGGCTAGGATTGCCCCTGGCAATGGAGGAAGCAAAGTTTTCCGCACACCCTGGCTGGCCCAGGCCTCCCCTCCAGGCTACAAAGTTTCAATTGTAGAAGATACATAAATCCCAGATACCAGGACTTCCACTTGGGTCGCCAGGGGGCATGGCCAGTCTGCAAACCACCATAGGCCCCTCACTCAGGCTACCCCACCCTGATCCGGGACACCCTTCAGAGCAAACCAGCTGGCCCCCACCCGTGCACCAGGCCTCTATCCTATCTAATAAAAGAGTAATATGCAAATTGACCATCACTCCAACACTAAGATGACCAGACGTCCCACTTTTGGTGGGATAATCCCGATTTTTAACAATTTGTTCCTTGTCCCACAACGTTTTAAAAAGTCCCGATTTTTGGAAAGATTATCGGGACTTTTTTAAAACACCACAGGATGAGGGACAAGTTGTTAAAAATCGGGACTGTCCCACCAAAAGTGGGACGTCTGGTATTTTATCCAACACACAATATGGCTGCCCTCATGTGGTCAAAGACACAAGATGGCCACCACAAGATGGCCAGCAGGGGAGGGCAGTTGGGAGGGATCAGGTCTGCAAGGGAGGGCAGTTATGGGTGATCAGACAAGTAGGGGAGGGCAGCTGGGAGGCACCAGGCCTGCAAGGGAAGGCAATTGGGAGGGACCAGGCCTGCAAGGAAGGGCAGTTGAAGGTGATCAACCCTGCAGGGGAGGGCAGTTAGAGGTGACCAGGCCGGCAGAGGAGGGAAGTTGGGGACAAATGGGCTGGCAGGGGAGCAGTTAGACATCAATCAGGTTGGCATGGGAGTGGTTAGGGGGTGATCAGGCTGGCAGGCAGAAGCTGTTACGGGCAATCAGGAAGGCAAGCAGGCAAGCAGGCAAGCAGTTGGGAGCAAGCAGTCCCATATTGGAGAGGGTGCAGGCTGGGCTGAGGGACAACCACCCTCCTCCCCTGCCCCCATGCAGAATTTCATGTACCAGGCCTCTAATAACTGCTAAAAAAAAAAAAAAAAAAAAAAAAAAAAAAAAGTGACAACTGTAGCCCAGCTGGTGTGGCTCAGTGGTTAAAGTCTACCCCTGAACCTAGAAGTCACGGTTCAATTCCCAGTCAGGATACATGCCCAGTTTTGGACTGAATTCTCAGTAGGGAGCGTGCAGGAGTCAGCCAATCAATAATATTCTCCCTCTCTCTCTCTCTCTCTCTCCCCCTCTTTTTTTCTCTCTCTCCCTCCCTCTCTCCCCCCTCCCTCTTCCTTTCTTTCTCTACAACCAATAAAAACACATTTTAAAAAAGAAAGTTGTTTGTTTTTTATAATGGCAACCTTCGGTGATCAGTGGTTGTGCCAGAAACCCCTTGTAGGATGTGTGACCTTTACCTCTTGTCCACTCCATCCCCAACATCCACTCGGTTGCTATGTGTCTCTCCCACACACACAGACTGGCCATGTGATTGATCTGATCAAAACTGAGCCAATTAAGTCTACTCCCAGGAATTTTGACACTGGAATCTGGAAGAGGCCAGTTGCTCTGCTGGCCTATGAATCTCTACTATGTGACACCCAGGAGTTGTCTGCCACTATGTCGACTAAGAAGGGAAGACAGCAGGAGCCAGATGCATTGAGAGGAGCAGAAATGAGAGTACAGAGACAAAGGCAGGTAGGTCCTGGCTGTGTTGGGAGTCCCTAGATGCATGCCTGTCCTGAGTTCAATGATTAGTTCCCCTTTCAGCTTCAGCCCATTGGAGTTGGGTTTCTATTATTCGTAAGCAAGATTCCCAACAAACCCAGTCCTCTCTCAAGAGTCATTTCAGATCTAACACCCAAGATGATGGCTTCTCCATCCCACTCAGGACCACCTCTACCATATGTCACCTTTGTATCAACTAGCAAAGGTGCCCCTTCTTCAAGGCAAGTTATTGACACCTACTGGAAAATTGTCACCAAATATTGCTTTTATTTATTTATTTATTTATTAAATATATATATATTTTTTTTAAATCAATCTTTATTGTTCATATTATTACAAAGGTTCCTCATTTCTTTCTCCCTCCACCAGGTTCCCACCCCACCCTCCGCCCCCTCCCCATCCCCCATTGTCCTCATCCATAGGTGCACAGTTTATGTTCAGTCTCTTCCTCCCTCCCTTTCCCCGATAGTAAATCCCTTTTCAGATAGTAAATCTGTTACTTAGCATTTTCTCATATCAATAATACCTCCACATGCCCAATGATACATTTCACACAAAAGACATTTCCAAATAGGTCAACCAGCCTCTTCCAGGCCCCACCCAAGGCACTCACAGATCAACACCCCAGCACTATACTAACTCAACATATCCAGATCTAAGCCTTCATCACTTGATTCAGCAGACCCTCAAGTTCCCACAAAGTTTCCAGCCATGTCTGAGAGGCAGCCGTGGGGCAGGGGCAGGCGAGGAGCGAGCGGTTCCGGGCCTGGCTGCTCCGGGCCTGGCCTCTGTTGCTCTGGTTCATTCCACAACCAGCTGCTCCGGGTCTGGTCACACCTGACCCAGCTGCTCCGGGCCTGGCCGCTCCCAGCCTGGCAGCCGTTGCTCCGGGCCTGGCCGCACCAGACCCGGCTGCTCCGGGCCTGGCCACTCCTAGCCTGGCAGCCGCTGCTCTGGGCCTGGCCGCTCCCAGCCTGGCAGCTGCTGCTCCAGGCCTGGCCGCACCAGACCCGGATGCTCTGGGCCCGGCTGCCCCGGGCCCGGCCGCTCCAAATCTGGCCACTCCTGGCCTGGATGCTCCAGGATTGGCTACTGCTGTTCTGGGCCTGGCTGCTCCCAACCTGGCTGCTCTGGGCCCGGCTTCTCCGGGTCTGCTGTTCCTGGACTGGCCATCCTGGGCTTGGCTGCCTCCGCCTCAGGCCTGGTTGCCACTGCCCCAGGTCTGGCTGCTCCAGTGCTGGCTGTTGATGCTCTGGTTCTGGCTGCTGCTGCTCTGGGGCCTGGCCATTGCTGCTCCGGGCCCGGCTGCCACTGCCTTGTGCCTGGCCACTCTAGGCCTGGCCGCCGCTGTTCCAACATTCTGTCTTTTTTTTTTTTTTTAACGCATTTATATTGCAATGTTGGCTGGTGAGTTGAGTTCTGACTTAGTCTTTGATTTTTTCAAGATCTTCTTTGTATTCTTTCTTAAGTGATTTTACTATCTTTTGCTCTCACTTGATTTCTTCACATTGAGAACTTCTTTGGTTTCTTCCTCCTTGTCCTGGGAGCTCAGCAGATTGGCCTGTGGCACCCCTTTGTTCTTTGCGGGCTCCTGTGCTGCTTCAGCCTGTTGCCGGGGTCGGCACCACCCAGGAAGCAGCCCCCGGCCTTGGCTCCGTTGCCCGCGCTCAGCTGTCGAGGGCTCAGGGGCACCCCCCTCCCCGGGGGCCCCGTCGCCCGGCTCCTTGCTGGTGCCCGGCTGGCCGGTGTCTGGCAGGGGCTCCCGCTCCTCATTGCGTTCCTCCAGTCTGGAGCTTTTTTTTCTCCTCCCCGCTAGGGGAGTCTAGGATCAGAGTCAACAGACTGTCCTCTGCGTGCAGTGCACGTGACTCTGGGGGCTCCACTTTTCGCCACTCCCCTGGGATTCCGCCTCACAGCCCCGTCTCCCCCTGCCTGAGCCTGGGTCCCCAGAGTCTGGCCTAGGACTGGGGTTCAGAGCAGTTGAAGCTGGGGCCCAACACGGCCGGGGCTCCTGTTTCCTTCCCTCCAGGGCAATCCCGCATCAGAGTCAACATTCCTTCCCTTGCAAGCAATGTGCGAGACTCCGGGGGCTTGGCCTTTCTCGGCTCTCCCAGGACTGCACCTCACAGCCCTGTCTCCCTCTGCTTGAGCTTGGGTCCCCAAGGATTGGCCTAGAACTGGGGTTCAGAGCAGTCCGGACTGAGGCTCAGCGCCGCCAGAGGCTTTGTTTCTTCCGGCTAGGGTAATCCAGCATCAGAGTAAACATTCAGTCCTCTGCACGCAATGTGCACGCGACTCCGGGGGCCCTGCTTTTTGCTGCTCCCCTGGGATTCCGCCTCACAGCCCCGTCTCCCCCTGCCAGAGCCTGGGTCCCCAGGGTCTGGCCCATAACTGGGGCTCAGCACTGCCGGTTCGGGGGTTCAGCCCAGGCTGGGGGTTTTATTTCCTTCCTGCTAGTGTCACCAAATATTGTTTTAGCCGAAACCGGTTTGGCTCAGTGGATGGAGCGTTGGCCTGAAGACTGGAAGGTCCCCGGTTGATTCCGGTCAAAGGCATGTACCTTGGTTGCGGGCACATCCCCAGTAAGGGGTGTGCAAGAGGCAGCTGATTGATGATTCTCTCTCATGGATGTTTCTAACTCTCTATCCCTCTCTCTTCCTCTCTGCAAAAAATCAATAAAATATATTTTTTAAAAATATTGTTTTGAGAACAGGACACTCTTATCACAAGAAAATTGGATCTACCATGTCTACAATGTGAACTGTGTCCCCTAGAGGCATCCATTGAACTCCCACTTTCACATATGTTTCTCAGAACACTGGGATACTCCATTAAAAATAAACAAGTCTTGCCCTAGCCAGGTTGAATCAGTGGTTGGCCTGCAGACCAAAGGGTCTGGGGTTTGATTCCAGTCAAGGGCAGGTACTTTGGTTGCAGCTTTCTTTGGCGCCCAGGTCAGGGCATGTGCAGGAGGCAACCAATCAATGTGTTTCTCTCACATCGATATTTCTCTCTGTCTTTCCCTCTCTCTTCCACTCTCTTTAAAAATCAATGGAAAATATCCTCAGGTGGAGATTTTTTTAAAAAAATTTTTTTTCATTAAAGAAAATGAGAAGAGACGTGGACACATGGGGAGAACAGTGTGTGAAGAAGGAGGCATAGGTTGGAGACAAATCTACAAGCCAAAGGAATGCCGAGGATTGCCAGCAACACCAG